TTTTTTTAGTTTTAATTTAATACCGTTTAAGTTCAAGTGTTAATAAACCTTTTGGATTAACTTCCATATTTTTAACAGAAAATTTTGCTTTTGGTAGAATACTTCCATAGAATCTCCATCGATTACCATTATCTTTTGATTCACATGTAAATGCACTAACTGGTGGATGATGGCTTACTTGCTCACTCATATAACGAAATGGTAAATCATCTCTAATAGATAAGAAGAAGAAGTCAAATTTATTTTTATTTAAATAAAAATATTTCTTAACAAACCGAACAAATTCATATGTTTCACCAAGTAATGGATTAAATGGTTTTGATAAACGATCACAATTATTCGATATAGATGAAACAGCAAATGCTGCGACATACTTTTAATAAACAGAAGTTTTGAAAGAAATATAGGTATATATAAAGAGAAAGATGTGAATACATACTTGCATTCTCATGATTGGATCATTACATTCATCTGCACGATCAAGTAAATATGAATAAAGAGCATTTTCTGTAAAACGTTGAAGAAATGAAACTGGTTCATTCCATACAATAGGCATTGTAATTTTTGATAATTCCTATTTGAAAATCAAATAAGTTAGTATATCACTTTTTCAGCTAATAAATAACTATTCAATATGAATTAATTTATTCGGTATGAGATAAAATAATTTTTGTTTTAAATATGATCCGCTTATGACCAATTTTAGGGTGTGTCTATTTAAGTTGAAATTATTATAATAGATACTTATAAGTTTCATCCATCCTTATTTCTGACTTAATTATACTAATTTTAATAGTATGATATGACTCTCAAATCGAAGTATCTTTTCGAGAAATTTATGCATACATTTACAAAAATATTCCGCTTTATAGGATAAAAATAGATGTAGTTCATAATAATACCTGATAGCGTTGGGTAAAAACAGACAACTTTTCTAAATATCCGGAGAAACTACTAAAAGTAATTTTCTTGTATACGGTTCACATGATTTGCTAATTGTAAACTATTATAATTGATCTCAGTGACACACGATCATGTATAACATATTGAACAACGTATTATTATAGTTGTGCCAATATATCTATTATTATTTGTCGGTAAAACTTTAAGAATATACTATACTACACAATATATTTCCGTGACATTAATTTCCTGCCGACTAATTTATTAATATGAAGTTGATTCTAATCTTAAAACTTAAAACTATTTGACAAAAACGATGCACTAATAAATATGTCAATCAAGATTCTGCTGTATTACTGTTCTTGACATAAAAAATATTATCGGTCTTGCAAACTCATAACGGTCGACTAAGCAAAGATTTTACGCATAAATGTGGTTAAATTATTTCAACGTCAATTGACTTTTGAAGGAAAAAAAAAGTTATTTTTTTTTCCTGATAACAAATTCTATCCGAAAATAGTAAAATTAATTATTTACTTTTCCAATGCATTGTTTTAATATACTCCAAATACTAATTTGTGAACGGTCGAACATTGGTACGGGAAGTTTTGTTCTAAATAAAAATAATTAAAATATAAAATAAAATATTTATTTTCAAACAAAATACTATGTATTTATTAACTTCTATATGTAAACATACCTTTGTGCATTTTTCTGTAATGTAAGAAACACATTATCCATAAGTGTTGAAATAATAATATAAGCAATTGATTAAAATAAGAGAGAAAAAACTCTACAAATTGATTCTATTATAAATATTTATGATAGAATCAAATGTATTTTTATGATTCTATATGTGAAGGTCGAATAAAATAAATGAAAAGTTTACTTATTTCTCGTGTCTCTTTTCTATTCTTTTTTTTACAAAAGAGTATAAAAATGATATGTTTATATGGGTTTTATGTTTTGCTCATTCATCCGAAAGAATAATGCTTCACACTGTTTCTTGCCGCACCTACAATCTTCGATTAAAGAGAAAGGAGAAAAAAATGTTGTTGGAAAAGATTGTTACGAGTTTATCTAGTCCTCCTTTCTCATTTTTTCTGATCACGCCACCTTTTTTTCTCTGATATTTAATTTAATGTTTAGTATTATAATACGTCAGAAAAAGAGAAAAAAACCATGTCATAGAGAGAGAGAGCGAAAGATAATAAATATACGAGATGACTGAGAAAAGAGAGTTATGGTACTTAGAACAGAAAGAAAAAAAAAGAGAATAGACCGCTTTGGAGATATTACGTTATAAGATGTAAAACAGAAAAAAAAGTTTTAATTATGCTTTTAGTTTCCACATACCGACCAAATTGTTGTCGACAAAGATTATTCCAGCTTCGCATTAAATCTCGTTGAATACCAGCATAATATTGATCAAAATCTATACAACAAAAAAAAAAGTCTCGTTTTTTTTCTGGTATGTCATGTAAAAATTGAATTATGACTTTATAGATTATATTTAAATGCATTCAAGGGAAGAATATCTAATGACAGCTAAGCATAGAATAATTAAAAACAAAATAATGTTGAGCAATCGAGGAAAAAATAGACTTGCTATTAAATTATGTTTTTACATATCAAAATATACTTAGAAATTTATAAATTATCGATAGAGAAAAAACGATTACTATAATAGAATCACATGTTACTATAAAGATTTTCTTTTGTGTGTAGATATTTTATAATCTTAAAATTATAACTGATCGATAAAAATCGTTATTATTGAAAGTAGATAATCAATCTTTAGCATTTGACACGCACATATCTCTTTAGAATTTCTTATCATAGTCATCCATCATAGACTAATAACGAGATGTTTTTTTAGTACAAATTTTTAATTATTCAATAATTTGAAAGAAAAAAATAGATGAGAAATAAGTTCATAATACATATTTGAGAATCAACGGAATCATTTTTTTGTATGAATTGATTATTATACTTTAACCTTTTACATGTAAAATGTACTGATAGAAAAAAATGTAAAATTATCCTGTTCCCCTTATCTATTCTAAAGTATATTGATATAATGAAGCACTTATCTTTATTTGACATATAACTCATCTGAACAGAAGCATGTTTCTTTCACTCGACTTATTACTAAATGAATAATATCGATGACTTACTGAAATATAAACATTTAAAACGAAACTCTTAGGACCAGTATGAGGGTATAGATTATCAATAAGAATTCTTATAAAGTTAATGAATATATACTACTATTCAGTTATTAATATTTTCTTCTATTCCATTGAGATAAAAACAAAGAAACTATATAATAAACCGAAAAGTTTTGTAGGTATTTCATTTAGTAATGTTACTTCTATTTATTTACCATATGAACGCAAACAAAGTAAATCTCTTGAGAATAGTTCCTTGTCAATTGTCCTTGGTAAATCTAATTAAATTTTTCTTCTTCTTCTTCATCTTATTAATAAAATCTAAAACTGTGTATTGTCAAAAAACAATTACTTTATACGCTCTTAGATTATAAAGTACCATTAACTATAGAATAAGAATTACCCTAAAAGTATTTTTATTAAATATATGCAATTAACTTTTTAATAAGCATTTCCGTTCTTCTTTCTTTTAGTAATTACATAGAAGAAAAGCATGTATTTGTAGATACAGAAAAATATTTCATTTCTTCATGATAAATATTTATCTGATAACTCCCTTTCTAAATAAATACTTCTTTTATATTAATATTTGCTATTTTCTTACGAAAGAAATATTATCATTTTCAAATAGATGAGCAAGTATCAAATAAGCATAAAGAAAAATCTTTTAATACCTTCAGCATCGAAGAATTCATCATCTGCATTATTCTGAGTCATTTTTACAATTCTAAATATATAAGATAAGAAAAAATACTAATAAAATAAAATAATTTCCTACTTACATAATTTATATCGAATAATTATGAACTCTTATTGATAAAATAAAATAATATTAATTGATATACATAAATCTTTAAATAAGAAAAAAAGACGAGGCATTATGATTTTTCTTTTTGTTAAAAAGAATAAATTTTTTTTTGAATGCATTACTATTGTCAACGTGGCTTTAATGTGTGTATAAGAAAATATAAAACAGAAAAGGTTCTCTTACGCCGTCTTTTCTTTTCTTTTTTTTTGTCGTTTTTTATTTTTTTATTGTATGCTGACATTGCTACACACTTTTCTTTTTCGTCATCAACTGGCACATTGTATATTTCAGTAATGCCAATGAATGTGGATGGATAATCGACAAAGGTGATATGTAAATATAAGCAAAAAAAACAGAAAAAGATTTACTATGTAATGAAAGAAAAAGAACGAAAAAGAAAAAACAGTTTTACATACAAGTATATACTTTTGTTGTTTTTAGGTTTTCTTCTGTTGTTTTTGTTCGCTGTATTTATACTCCGAGGGATCAACGATCGGATTGAAAAATATGTAAGAGTTCAACAAGAAAAAGTTCATTACATACGAGCATCTATGTTGTTGTGTTTACATTATATATAATATGCAGTTCAATGTTTAAATAAAATAAATAATGAAAAACTTTTTTCTCTTCATATCAATCAAAGATGACAAATTCAATTTTGATAAAATAACAACGTAGATATCGAAAAAGACTCAATATTTTTCATATAAAAAGAATTTAGTATATGTTAAATCATTCAAATTTCTCTATTGAATATGACTATCTATGTTAAAACCACTAAAAAGTAGACTACAGTGGGGAGTCTAGGATTTTGGAAGGGGGCGGGCGATACCTGGTGAGGGGGGACGATTTTGGCTAAAAACTATTTTTTTAGTCCGATCGAAGTAGTGTGAACCTATTTTTGCTGTAAAAAATCGAAAAAATTTTCTGAAGGGGGGAGCGATCGCCCCTCCCCTAAATCTGCCACTGGTAGACAATTCTTGTCTCACTATTTACAGTCATAATATTGAAAATTCAAGTCATGAAAAAATACAAAATTCGTTAATGATTATGTAGCCAACGCCCAAACAAATATTGTTAACATAATAGAAGCCTATCAACAGATTCTTTTCATTTTACTAAAAGTTTTGAAAGGCCAGTTTTTAAATGAATCAAAGTTTGTTCCGTTTTATTCATTAGAAAATAATTTATATATTGTATAAAAAATCGAAGATTCCAAATGAATACATCCTCTATATGAAAATTTTGATAAAGATGACGCTCACAACTGATTAATATTATCGAAGAATTCTCATTTCTTATACAAATAACCAATCGGATAATCGTTGACGAATAAAATGATTCATTGAAACACAGAAGTTGAAAAAATTGTTGCACAAAGGAAGAATGAGAAATTCTTTTGTTTTTGTCTATTCTGTTTTTTTTTTCTAAGATTTTTTTTATTACAACAAATGGGCTGAGAACAAATTCAAAATTGAATCATGGGCAGTGCATCAACGAAAATTATATCTTATGATGAAGCTTCCAAGCGATGTATTAAAAATAAAACTTTTTTTTATAAAATAAAATACTAATCTGATGTTTTTTTTCTTATTTTCATTTAGTTCTTCCCTTAGATTTAGAACGTATTGAAACAACATATCGAGACTTAACAAGTGGAACTGGTGAATTAAGCTATACTAGTTTTAAACGAGATGTTTTTGCACATTTTTTACCAGAAAAATTAGCTGGGGTATGTTATTTTATTTTTCTAATACTTTTTGATAATTATTTTTCCAAATTTATATTCAGCGTCTTTATCAAGTTTGTACTAATTCATCAAAATCATGTATGTCATTAAAAGATCTTGTATGTTGTTTGGCATTAATTTATTATGGGACATCAAAAGAACGCATGCAACGTATGATTCTTTTTTGTATATCCAAATCAAAGTAATACTTTATCTATTTAGTTCTTTTTTTATTATTTGCTCACAATGTATCAAATGGTAATGGAACATTACGTTGGCAAGATGTTGAAGATTTTCTTTCACAATGTGGAGATCATCCACCAGAAGAACTTGATACAATATTTCAAAATGTATTTATTTTATATTTTTGAAATTTTTTTGTCTCAATGATTACTCATTTTTTATCACTAGTTTGTTACATAGTAAAAGATTAGCTTGAGATATTTCTGCGCATATATGATAAAGAAAAATGAGATAGCATAATATACAATCTATTATGGGAATATCTGTCGTAATTATTAGCTTGTTCAGTGGGTTTCATAGAAATATAGGCAATGTTCAGTATATTATCTTATCATAATTTGTAAAACTCGATGGGGTCTAATACTTTCTTTTTTTTTATAGCATGATGAAATTGTAACGCAAGAAAAATTTCTTTCATGGTTAGAACATCATCAGGGTCATACTACAACTATAACAGATTGGTTAATGGATGATCAACGTTTACATGAATTAATATCATCACCAATAGATAGAACACTTGATCAATATTCTATTCTAGCTGGTATAACACATTGTAAGTAAATAAAGATAAAATAATTTTCATATTTTAGTTAATTTGCTCTTTTTTATTTAGTATCAGAAATTGAAATAAGAGAACTTGAAAAAAGTTATCAATCTTTATGTACATATTCGAATATTAATCGACAACAACAAATAACATTACAAACATTTTCAAATGTATTAACACCTGTTCTTCCACCAATGCTTATTCCAGGTTTTTTCGATGCTTTCGATGAAAATTGTGATGGTAAAAGAGAGATTTATTTCAAAGAACAAAAAAATATATAAATAATTTTCTTGATATTATATTTAGGATGTATTGATTTTAAAGAATTTGTTTGTGGAGTAAGTGCAGCTTGTCGTGGACCACAATACGAACGATATAAATGTAAGTAATTATATTAAACAAATTTAATTATTTCAAAAAGATTCTCACGTTTATTTAGAAATTTTTTTCTGAGGTTGTATATTATTGAATAGTTTATAAAAAATTAGTTTTATATAATACTCTAAAAATATAGTTAGTAACGTTTATAATAAGAGAATTGATTAATATCTATTGTGGTATATGTTTCATTTAGAATTTATCAATAAAAAGATTTATTCCGAAAAAGACTTAATCGAAATATAAGCTTTATCTAGAATTTTAATTGATGTCTGTAGATCCAAAAGTGTATTCTTAGAAGAAACTGCTTCCTTTCAGACTTATTATAAAAAATGTTCATCGTTTCATAACTTAAATCTTGATCAAGTTTAATTAGAAACTATTTTCTTATCGAGAAATGATCTTATTAACGTCATAGAAAAGCTGATGTCTTAGAGTATAATGCAAAAAAAAACAAATAACTTTTTTAAGTCACTCAAATCTTTCATCTTATTTTTAAAAAACATTAATTTTGATATGTTCATGTGAAAAGAAGGACTGTGATTATCTTTGAAAAACGAATTTTTGATATAAATAATTTTCTTTTTTTTATTAGTTCTTTTTCGTGTATTCGATCGTGATCATGATGGTTTTCTTGATCGAGCTGATATTATTCATATGTCATCTTGTCTTATTGATGTTGCTCAATTTGTATATGTTATTAGTATTCATATGACTGATTCGCCAGATATCTATGCGGATAATATTCTACAAAAAAATGAAGTACAAATATTTCCTAATTGTATATATTTTGTTTTTGTATAAAATTTTCTATCTAGAATGATAAATCAACTGAAATTAAATATTTTAAACAAGAAGATTTTATAAATTGGTGTTCAACTGATTCATTAATAAAAGAATTAATTGAACTTATATTTCAAATTTGTCATGTTGTACTTGGTTTAAGACCATCAACAAGACATGATGAAATCACAATTGTTAAGTATGTTTTTGAAAATAAATTATTTTGAAAAGATAAAAATTTGAATTCATTAGACAATTTCTTCGACGTGAACAGTATCCATTTGTTGAAGCTCAATCGGGTGTTTCATCGAAAGTTTATCATTGGATTAATTGTAATCGTTCAACATCAAAACCAGGTTCATCATGGTATCTTATATCAATGGAATGGTGGCTTCGATGGGAAGCATTGTTAAATAATAATTCAGCTGAATTAACACTAACACCAACAATACATAAAAAGAATTCATTTACAAAACTTAATAAATTAACAAATGGAATTGAGAATAAGTATAGAAAATCGAAGCGTTTGTTTTTCATATTCTTATTCTTTTTTTTTAAGACGAGAACCTGGTGATATAGATAATTCTATGTTAATTGACAAAAATTCTTCAACTAATATTCGTGTAATGAATGATGATTGTGTTCAACTTAAACCTGGACTTCGTCATCATATTCATTTTGAAATGGTACCAGAATCAATTTGGTTATTTTTAAGAAAATATTATCGTTGTAATGGACAACCTATATGTCGAAAAGTAACATATAGAAAAAAATTAAATAAACCTGAACTTGATCTCTATCCATTATTGATTAAAATCTATCGTAATCAAATTCTTTCACCACAACAAATACAAGCTATAGCAACTAATACAACAACAAATAATAATAATCCACATTCAACATATTCAGTTTATCCATTACTTAATTTTGTATCAGCCGGCATGTTTGGTAATATTTTTTAAAAAACAAATAATTTATTTATTTACTCTTGAAAACACGAATTTTTATGATTTGTATAGGTACAAGTGGCTCAGCGAATATAATGCCACATAATACACAACGACATTATTTGACATGTTCATATTTTGTTAGTCCATATCAAACAGTTCGATCACTTGCAGAAGAACTTTCAGCAAAATTTGGAAAATCATTAGATGAAACAAGAATATGGATCAGATATAATGAAGTTAGTTTAGTTTTTATTTATAATAAACATAATTATTTAGATAAAGAAAATGTATTTATTCTTATAAAAACATGGAATTTCAGTATACTCTCCTACTGTTAGTGTTCATAACGGTTTCGATAGTGATCTTCATTCCATTCAGCGATTAATGTTCCATTTAGTTCTCTACTATTTCTTAATCTGAATTTAATAATTTCTAACAAATAGCGGCACTCTGTGCTCATCTTTAGGACTCTTGGAATATGTTATTGTAAAAACATCTATTAATTTTGTTTCGATCATATAGATATTTCATTCACATGATCTAGACATAGGGTAATGAAAATTAGTCGATTCATTTCATCGACTAAAAGACAATAATATTGATGCACTTAAACACTGCTTCTACGCTTCTTGTTGACCTAGTAAAGCTTTATGTTTTATCGACAACTAACTCTCGTTATTTTAGAATCGTTTACCTACTATTACTGAAACAGTCTTAGATTCTTGCAAAAGTTTGAGAACTTTCTCAGTGGACAGAGTTGTAACTAACCTCTAATAAGTGTGCTAATAGTTCAGAAAAGTCATTGTTTTTCTTTCGATTTTAGTTGATAATTAAAGGTAATATTAATACTTAATTTTATTATAATAGTTGTGAATAAATTGAAATGCATTAAAATTTTAACTAGTATTAGTAACTAGAGGTGTAAGAAAGACTACTATAAACAATTAGTTCGTTCACTAATCGGCGATAACTAGTAATAGAATGTCTATAAGCTTGATTTTCAATTACAGAAGATCTCTTTTCAGTAAAAAATCTCTAGTATTTCTTCAAGCAAAAAAAATCAAGCTTATAGAATTTCATAATCACTATTGATTTGTTACTAGAATTGAATTGTTTGTTTCTTAGAGTGATCTTCGTCAAATTGATTTTGAATCAATCGATGAAGTTACATGTCTTGATGCTGGTTTTGAACAAAATATTGAAATTCTATTAGAAACACGTAATAATGATTTAACATGGCCTGAAGAATTATATACATTAGCAACACGTCCCAAAGTCATACCAACTCAATCAACATCGACAAATAATAGTTCATCGGGGAATGTTGAAGAAGAAGGTCGTGGTTTAATCGGTCTATCTAATTTAGGAAATACATGTTTTCTTAATGCAGCTGTACAATGTTTAAGTCATTCATATCCATTAACATTTTATTTTTTACATAAATATCATCTATTCGAAATAAATAAGTATGAAAAAAGAATCAATTTTTATTACAAAACAAAATATATGAATTTTATTATAGAGATAATCCTATTGGAATGCAAGGTAATATAGCACTTCGTTATGGACAACTTGTTGCTAAACTTTGGGGAAGTATACGTGGACCATTAGCACCATTTGAATTACGAGTTTGTTTAAATTTTATTCAATCAATAGAATTTATTGTTTGTTGTTATTGATATTATTTAGGATTCAGTTGCAAAATTTGGTTCATCACGTTTTACAGATTTTCAACAACATGATTCACAAGAATTTCTTTCATTTTTAATTGATGGTTTACATGAAGATCTTAATCGTGTTCATAATAAACCTTATGTTGAACTTAAAGATAGTGACGATAGGCCAGATGAAGATGTAAAAAGAAATTCTTTTCTATTATTTTATGTATTTATTTTATTTTTTCTCGTATACAATAGGTTGCTTATGAACATTGGGCTAATCATCTAGCAAGAAATACATCAATTATTGTTGATTTATTTCATGGTTTACTTCGTTCACAAGTGAAATGTCGTGTTTGTGATTTAAAAAGTGTTAGGTTTGATCCATTCAATATTCTATCATTGCCATTACCAATGGATACATCGATTTATATTGAGATTAAACGTATGTATAAAAAATATATATATATAATAAACTGATGATAGTGTTAGATTAGGAAGTCATCTAGACATTGCTCTACATTGTTAATTCAATCGTTCTATCTTAAGTATAAATGTACCAAATAGATTCGATTAATTTTTATCGATATAGAAATCATTCTTTTGACGATGTATACCGATCGCAATGGAATTTTTCTACAAAATATTAATAGAAAAAAAGTAGACATCGATATTAAACGAGGTACTGAAATAAGCATATAACAATCAAATCTATATTTATGATGCAAAGATTTAAGGAGTATACGAGCACACCCTAATAGCTGTAAGTTTTATTCAGAATATTTCAAACCATAATGTGCGACTTTAGAAAACGACATAGATACATTCAAAATGAATTGTTATTAAATTTAAAATAAAATAAGATTTTCTCTTTCAAGTTGTTCATCTTGATGGTTCACGACCAACTCGTTATGGTATTAGACTCGATGGTGACTTATCAATCAGCCAACTAAAAACGCAATTATCAACTTTATCATCATTATCAATTGAACAAATTGGATTTTTTGAAATAACAGCATCATCCTATCTTCGCCGAAATCCTTTTATGGATAATGATCAAACAAAGATTAAACAATTAAATTTTCGAGAATTACTTGCTTATGAATTACCATTAAATAAATCTTCTGAAACATCAAATGAAAAAACTTCTCCAACAAATCGTTCATCATTGTACATAATAGCAATACATCGTCGTTTAGAACGTCAAGAACGTTATTTATCTCCAATGACACGTCATAAAATTGTATTCTTTGGTCAACCAATACTTATTCCATATAATAATGATCCTAATTCAGAGAATAAAATAACAAATGAAGATATTTATAAATTAGTATTTAAACAATTAGAACGTTTATTAAGAAAAAATAAGGATTTAACAAATTTATCTAATCATGCACTTGATTGTGATGATTCACTTAAAGAACGTTATCCATTTGTATTAAAACATGTTAATGAAGAAGGAAAAAAATGTTCAATATGTTCATGGAATCGGTAAAATCTATTTTTGAAAATTTTATTTAAATTTCATGTTTAAAATATTTTAGTTTTTGTCTTGGTTGTTCATTTGAATCAGATAATGATGAATTTAAATATACAGACGGAAATATAGCTATTGAATGGGAATCATCAGCTTATTATCTTCAATATTTATCAAGTCGTGAATTAGTAAATTTTGTTTTTATGAAAATTAGATTTTTTTATTTGATCTATTTATCTTTAGGATGTTGAAATTCATCCAAGTGTAAAATTAGCTCGATCATGGAATAATGATGGCACTACGGATGAATCATCATCCATAGTTCGTTTAGAAGATTGTCTTGAATCATTTATAAAATGGGAAAATCTTGATAATAAGGAAATGTTTAATTGTAAAAGATGTCAAAAATTACAACCGGCAGATAAAAAACTTGATCTTTGGAAATTACCACCATGCCTAGTAGGAATAAATTTTTGATTTATTTTAACAATAGATTTTATTCTATTCATAGATATTCCATATAAAACGTTTTCAACTAGCCAATAATCGTTGGATAAAATCATCTCGACCTGTTCGTTTTCCAATAAATTCATTTCATCCATCTAAATATCTTGCTCAACGATCTCCAATGTCTTCATCATTACAATTTCGTTCTGCTGACGACAATCTAAGTACATCATCATCATCTTCTCTTTCATCAATAACTCCAGAAGCAATTTCTTCATCATCGATTGATAATATGCTTATTTTATCTCCATCTCGTTTGGTTAATGGAAATAATCATTATATAAAATCGGCTAATGATCCAAATATTGGTCTACCACCACCAGAAATAATCAATGAATCAATAAAAAAGAAGAAAAAAAAACATTTTGGACGACGACGTAAACGAGTTGAAATTGAGAATGCTGAACATACTTTAAATCCACCAAGATTTAGCCAAATGGATCGTACACTTAGCTTTGGTGATAATAGTTTTGATGCTGATAATGCAGCTTATAATCTATATGCATTTGTTGTAAGAATTATTTCTAAGACGAAATCTATTTAATTTTAATTCTTTCTATTTTTCTAATAGTGTCACTATGGAGTTATCGGTGGTGGTCATTATGTCGCATTTGTTAAAAATCATATTAATCAACAATGGTATTGCTTTAATGATAGTTCATGCAAAGTAAATAGATATTTTTCTTTTAAAGAAAGAATTATATTATTATTTTAGCCTGTTTCTGAGAGTATACTTGAACAATGTTCATCATCAGCTTATTTATTATTTTATGAGCGTGAAACTATGGATCATCGTCGTTATATGCCTAATCTTGAAGGTAAAAAACAAGTAGCAAATGACTTTCCATTAACAGGCGATGATCGATGGTGTTCTATAATGTGATTTGATAAATGAACAAACAATCTTCTCTTTATTCTTAATTGTCATTATTTTTTTTTCTTTTTCAAAATATATTTCTCTCCGGTGCTTTTTCGTTGTGTAATCAAACAGACATATACATTGCATAAAAAAGAACTTTTCTTTTGTTTTTTGTTTAATTAAACTTGTGCTCATGTGACTATTCAAATATCTGAACCTTTTCGGTTTTCTTTTTTTTTCCATTTCATTCTTTTTTCCTTTACTTTCTTGTACAGCGAATATAAAAGACATGTGTGTTTGTTTTTCTCATTCATCTTTCGTTTATTATTCTTGTGCAAGTTACGTTAATGTTTTTTTTTCTTGTGTATTTATACGAAGATGTATACACAGTTTTCAAGAAAACGATATAAGATATGTACATTGACGTTTTTTCATTTGAATAATTATATTGATAATGATTGAAAAACAAAATAATTTCACGATTATTTATTAGCAAAAGAATGAACTTTAAGAAGTGCATTAAACAGCAGCTTTTTATCTGTTAAACGAAGGATTTCTGCTGGTAATCAAAAACATTAACTATTCTCCAGTCGAAAGATCATTCTTATTGAGAAATCAATGAATTTATAACATTAACTATCAATCAGTGATATGCAATTTTTAAGTTGTTTTTCATTTAATTTTAACAATATGATTATCTATGAACTATTTTGACTTATTTTGAGGGTGTGGGTGTGGGTATAGATATTATTTTAATACGGCACCCACACTCAGACCCACCCTCAAACTAATCTGCACGCTTTAATCTTTGATGTTAAAAAATTAATGTGTACTGTAATTTTTTAAAATCAAAGATTAAATGATTCGTTAATCCTTGATATCAAATTAACGTAAAAGGTCCATCCATGATCTTCATCATCATCGATATAGTTCTAATGGTAATTTAATAACCACTCTTTGATGAAATCGTTGTTTTTGACAAAAAATACGTAAAAAAAGGAGTGATACAACTAAAAATGATTATATTATTGTTGATATCCAAAGATTAACTGATTCATCTTTTAATATTTTTTTTGCATGTGTCGTTATGAAAAAATGTATGCAGAGTGGAAAAAAAACTAAGAAGGTTGCTATCGATTTCTTTTTCTTTTTAAAATTATTTTGCTTTATCAAATGCTTATTGGAAGAAAATAGAAAAACAACAAATTTATAAATATGCATACATAAATATATAGATTAGGGAAGGATCAGGAGAAAGTTGAAAGGTAATATAAAAGAGCAAAGAAAATATGTGATGTATTCGACTGGTATCACCCAGACAATAACATTGACTCATGGCGAAAAAAAACAGCAGAAGAAAGAGAAAAGAAATACTCAGTAAATAAGACGATGCTGTATATATATAAGTTAGGGATTCTATCGAGATATTATCTGTTGATATTTGGCGCAGAACGCAACACATTATGTATTAGTAGTACCTTATATATACGACATAGTCATTTACTGGGTATTTTTTTCAAGCGCGAGATGAGTCAATATTGACTAGGACGCCGATGTGGGGAAGTTGTCACCGAAGAATGAGAGAAAATACCCAGTAAATGACTATGTCGTATACATATAAGCTACCAATTCTGTTGAGATATTATTAATCCACATCTGGCACAGATCACAACACAATATTTTCCTACGCATTCATCTTTTTTTCTTTTTTTGCAATATAAAGAACTGTTAACAGACCAACTAATAAAATATCAACATTACGACGTCCCATCTAACAGTAAGCTAAAAACAACTAAAAATCACTGAATTGTATGTAATTTCGTACAACTTGAGAAAACGACGACGATACATAGTAAAAAATAAGACATTTACTTTTATTTTATGAATATATAACAGACTGATGTGTAGTGAACTGGATATAGGTCAGTCCGTTGCTCGCTTGATTCGTTTTCAATATTACACTTCTACTCTTTACTGTGATCCTTATCAGTCTCCTTCTGTGTTGCTGTTTCTTCCGATCATAACATTAGCCAACGGTTCATATTGAACTGTCCATTATTGCTTAATCTGATTTTAACCGATTACTTATTAGTTTGATGAATTGTTTTAATCTTTTATCATTTATTGTCTCCATTACCTTTGCTATCTCTCCTTCTTATTTTTCTTTGGTCTTTATATTCTCTTGGATGCTTCGATATAGCTCCACCCACTTTCTACAGAACTTTTTCTTGGCAAGATTTAGGTATGCTAGTTTTGTAGCTCTAGTTGGATCATATAAGAGTTGATATTTAATTTTGTCTCGGATCACGCGCTAACCACTGCAGAATAGGCACAAAAGTCGATTTTATCGGAAATTGGCGTCCGAAATCACTGTTATATTATTCGTGAGCATTCCCTGAAAATGTTTATTTAACAGTAGATAGAGCATAAAAAGTTGTTTTTGTGAAATAGTTTTCAGAAGTACATCTCAAGAACTCGTTGTTTGGAAGATTCCTCCTAAAAACGTCGAAAGTAAAAATGCCGAAACCTAAAAATGCAGAAAAATAAAAATAGTGAAGTATAAAAACATTAAAATGTCGAATAGTAACAATATTCGAAAAAAATTTTTGAAAACATATATTTTTTTGATATTTTCAATACTTGAAATTGGCGAAAGCGACTGTGAGTGCGGGTGTTGACTTTTTATCTGTATTTATAACCACCATCCTCACCCACACCCACACCCTCAAGATGGGCGCAATACTGGAGCCCAAGAATAGAGAAAAAAGGGCACAAATAAGCAGACGGCAGAATATAAGAACGACTGAGTGTGGCATTAGAGGAGAAGGAGAGAATAGACACTGCTTCTTTTGTGTATTCTCCTCCGGCTCTACAAACTCGTTTCAGAAACATCAACCATAATACACTTAGATCTCCAACTCAACTATTACAGGAAAAAAACACCATGTACCATTATCTGATTTATATGGTAACTGCAGCCTGCGTGATCTGCGCGTCGTATCTCTTTATCGTGCACAAATGGAAGCAAGAAAAGGAAGAAAAGGAAGAAAAGGAAAAAAAGGAAAAAAAGGAAGAAAAGGAAAGACAACGAAAATACTTGGCAGCCAAAGAAGCGGAGGACAAAATCAAAAACCCACAAAGGGTGAGTGTGTATCATTCAAAGTGAAAAGTTTTTTAAGAACACTTTATTATAACATTAAGGAGGAAGAATAGCCGCCTCCTTAATTGTTCCAACATGTTTTTTAGTCCTCGTTGCGTTACATATGAAACCCAAGTTTCCGATGATATTTCAATGCTCCGTCACTGAGGCACAGAATTCACAAAAATACGTGTCGGCTGGGTTTCGCTCTGTAATGGGGAAAATGGCTAGTTTCTAGCGGGCTTCAGAGCTGAAAACGGACCGTGTCCTTTGAAAATTTTAACTGGCCAGTCTAGGCTCGAAAAACATTGTGCGTTTCTGACGGGTTTTTCGTCCAAAAATGCTTTGTTTACCAATTCGACTTTCGTCAATTTTTCAAGACAGAATTTCGCTTACTGTAAAAAAAGCTTCATAGAAAAAGAAGACAATCATTGAGTTCAAAAGGATATCAGTTCAAATCCTCTTCTACTAGCAAGAATATCTGGAATTGAAATTTGAAACAGAGAAAAATTCAAGGTTTGACTTGACGCTAAATCGATTCTGAATTATGGGTAAATCATTGTACTTTGAGCACTATAGCCTACTTCCGTTTTAATTCAAAGTTGATGTTTTTGTAACAATGCTGAGTGTACGTCGGAAATATAACTTTAAGTGAAGCACAAGCAATACTTGCACCGCATACAAGCACTCACACAAAAGGAGTACACTGTTAGCTTAAATCAAATAAACATTTACCCAATATTTAGATTTTTAAAGTGCAGTTAAGCATTCTTTTCAAATTTATTAAAAATTTGGAAAAAGGGGGTGGTCGAAAAATTATGAATTTTTTCTCACTCTAGAAATGTCATAATACGAAAGTCCTTGTCACCCAGACCACGAATCTGACATCCGTTTGTCAAGATCTGATCCCTTTCTTGCCGTGTTTGCTATAGTGGGATACCTAAGTCTCCGTAGGGTAGTTCCGTGAGGTTTCAAACACAAACAGATAAGTATTCAGAAAATTTTCTTTTCCCTCAAACTTTGTAGAGCTTTTTTCGCTGATCATTTTCGTATAAGAAAGTTTTGAATTCTATTGCGAAACGACGACGCTATCGTCAAAATAAAAAAAACATAGTAAAATACGGTAAAATAGTTTAAATCCCATTTTTCCTTATAAAACATTGAAAATTGTTGAAAAAAAAAGGATTAGATCTAGACAAACGGATGTCAGATTCGTGATCTGGGTAACAAGGACTTTCGTATTATAACATTTCTAGAGTGAGGAAAAAGTCACGATTTTCGACCACCCCCTTTCACCGGTTGTGCCGGTTTTTCTCCAGTTTACTCCGATTCTCAACCGACCAGGTCGAGTCGACTGAGAAATTTTCAACCGGTTCCAGCTCTGGTGAGCTTCGATACCGATGCAGAGTGACCGACAATGGATCAACAAATTTTTGCATGCCGGAACCAGTTTTTTTTGAAAAAATGCTGGCCCGGAATCGGAACCGAAAATTTTCATCTTTCTGAGACCGCTAATGGGTTGGTCACTCCTCCTCCCAACATCCGAAACAATGTGTGTGGGAACAAAAATTATTGAGGACAGTTTGTAGTATGTACAGTGACCAGCGTCTATAGACTCAAATTTAATTGAAGAACAACGGCTAGAAATACGGACTTACAAATTTTCCAGTTTTGTATTTCGGGTCTCGCACGGGGAGGGGAATTAGTAAAAACAAACGTTCGTCAACTTACATACTACAAAGCATTCTCTACAACTTTCGTTTGGAGGCAGACGGATCAGTTTTGCGGAAGTGCCGGAAAGGGATTTGGCCAGCAGTAGTGGGAAATCTGGCTTGTTTGAGAGAAAATAAATTTCCCTTCTCGTCCCTTACAAATATTCTTTGTATGAATTTTTTGCGTGATAAATTGGTGAAAACTGTGCTCTTATCTTTCAGGTCGTTGATAAGTTAATCGCCCTCATCCCGAATGACGATGATCAAGTTTTGCTTATTCAATTTCTCGGTTCAAAAGATGCCTGTATGAATGCACTAATTTCGAAACTGCTCGCAGATTCCCAATTCGAACAGTTAATACGTCGTTATTTGAATGAAGCACAAGATGAAGTAAATAACAAGAAAGAGAAATGCGACCTTTTAGAAACAGTAGCAGTTATTCAAGAATTGAAAAAGAACAACGAGCAGACATTAACAAATGATATTCAGTTTCTTGAGAAGTTGATGAAACATACGGATCCTAAAAGTGCATTTTTAATTTTTCAAAAATCTCTACAGCAGTTAACGGTGGATCAACGTGCAAAAATGATATCATCCGTGTTAAATATTTGCAAACGTCTTCCAAGCAATCCCATAACGACTAGTCTCACCAATTCATTAAAATGGATTAAAGGCGGCGGGCTCACAATAAAACCAATTTGGATCGTCGCTGGCCTCTTACTTTGGGAAACTTCAAAGGGTATTAATGATTGGTGGGATGGCAGAATTACTGGCACTAGATGTGTAACAATAATTATTGAAAAAAGTGCAGCTATCGGTGGTGCCTGTGTGGGCGTTGCTGTTGGTTCAGCAGTGGGAACACAAATATTTCCCGGGGTTGGTACACTTGTCGGTGGGGTGATAGGAGGATTTATTGGAGGAGCTGTAGCTGAAGCATTAGCAAAATGGCTGAATGATTATTTCTTTGATCGACCAAAGGATATTGCATTAGAAAATGCTTATGCATATTTACAATTAAGACATACTTGTTCAAATGACGAGATCAATGAATCGTATAAAAAATTACTTCTCATCCATCATCCCGACAAAGGTGGTAAGCCGGAAAACTTTATAAAATTACAAGTCTCACTGGCCATTATAAAGGAAGCACGTGGACAAGGCGTGGCGTCAACAAATGTGAGCATAAATCTGATTTTAACTCTCGTATAGTAGGACACTCTTCCTCTCTCTTTCTAGTTTGGACAAAAATCAATCAAATGACACTGAATTTTGACTTTTTTCCCTTTCCTTGTTCGATGGAGGGTTGGTAGCTAGCAATAAAAACGTGGATTATGCTAACGTATATGGTGATTTACAAAACCTCTAAAATACAACATGTGTATCGCTAGTTGCATTAGACATATATATTTCAGGTTCATCGGATCTGTTAATATCTCAGCGAAACTGACAGAGGATTCAATGGAGTTCAGTCAAATCTCCCAATGGAGATTGAAAGATGTGATTATGATGTATGAAAGCAGTCACGATCCGGATTTTGGCCTTGCTAAAGGGTCTCGTGAGGAGGCAATGGGTGTGAGTGTGGGTATCTCTTCCTTTAGTAAACACCCACACTTAATTTTTGGACCAATCAGTGAAATGCGGAGACACAAGTAAGTAAGCAATCATGCAGACAATTTATGTTTGCAAGACTCTTCTCTATGAGAAAAAGAACATTTTAAAGATGAGCATACAAAATGAAGTTATCTTTTAGATTTTTTTCGAACAACGAATAGTGTAACATCTAAAGCTGTTTTTTTATGAATAATTATATTGTAATCTTTGATATTTTTCTTTTTTTGAACATTTTTAAAAAAAGAGTCAAGTCATTGAACAAAAACTCTTGCCAGTTAATTGGGTGACAGTTGGACTGGTCTCATTCGATTTCTAAAACTAGTCTTGTTCATTGTAAACAGGATTAAATTGAATAGGATTCTGTTACCTGTAATTAATATTCATACTAAAAGTCAAGTAGATGCAGTCTACCGGAGTTACTCTCTTCAACTGCATGCTGACAGAGATGTCAATATATTCTGAAAGTAATGACTTTTGATCATCTCTATATTTATGATAGTGATTAAAGATTTTAATAAAATTGCTCAGCATACGATCAAAACTGAAATGCATATAAAGTCACATGAATAATCGAAGAGAAACTTTATACTATAATGAGCCTTTATTTTGATATTTCTAACAATATAAAAGTTATAACATTTCAAATTCTACGATTATTATTATACTGATCGCTTATATATTTTTTTACTAGCCATTTCATCCATTTTATTGATCAAATATTTTCTTCTCATTATTATCATTCTTTTTACTATCAAAAACATACACCAGTTGAACAAGAGAAACCAGTCAATAATCTAGATATATATATATATATATATATAATATTCAGTGTAATCGTCTGTCTGTACCGGATTAAAGGTTAAATTGAAAAAAACATCATTTTAACAGTTGCAAAGTTCGATTGAGCCCTCTAGAATCTTCTAAAAGTTTGAGAAGTTCGAAAATCCTCTACCATCTTTCATAACCTTCTAGAACGTCGAAAGTCTCTAGAACATTCCCAGGTTTTGATCTTTATGTCATAAATAATCGAGTATGTTCTCGATAGGTTCGTGGTAGGTTAAGAAGAGTACAAACAGACTTGCAATAATACTAAATAGACAATTTCAAAAAATGCCAATGATGAGGCAACACCGTGCAGTATATACAGGTTCTCGCTAGTAACTGGCTTTGAACAAATTCATTTTTGTAATAAAAGTAGACATATTTCAATAAGTCTAGTTCAATAAAAACAATAGTAATAAAGAAAGAAATTTTTATTGAATTAGAAATGATTTCATACTTGTAATAAAATTTTAATAAGCTTTAGATTTTTGTGAATAATCTTGAATTTTCTTTACATTTCGTCGGAAATCTACGAAAACTATGACTATAAAGAAAAAAAAATGAAGAAATAGCAGAGTTGTACATGTGAATGCATCGATCTTTAATATAATAATGTCAATTATATATTTTAAATATAGAACTTTTTTCAGGAAAAAAAATCCACATAATTTTGTATAGAGTACGTATTAAATATTAAAGTTGAGATGGCCTTCATTTGAGAATTATCTTCTATCAGCTGTTTCTGACTTAAGATTTTTCTCGTCTCAGTAAAATACTTGTCATAACACATTCATCAATCATATATGGTAACTTCAAAGAAAACTATTTGCCGTCGAGTAGCGTCCTCTCTATTACTCAATTGATTTACTCATTGCTCAGTATTCGGTTGATTACCTAAACCGAGAAGGATGGAGAAAAGAAAAAAAACGAGAAAAAAAATAAATGTTTGTTATATATAAAAATGGCGGTGAAATGATCGATTCATTCACCTGAAACGATAAAAATAATGAATAGATGAATAACTCCATTATTCAAATGACGTTATTTTTATTTTTTTACTTACTTATAGATGTAAATTCATCTTTTGGTTATAGTTTTTATTTGTAAAAAACATATCAAATATTAAAATGCCACTTCCTCGTTCAGCTAAAGAAGCAGTAGCGAACGATAGTGAATGTAGTAGTTTATTTTCTACAGAAGATCCAGAAAAAATATTTGTTGATTTACGAGAAATTGGTCATGGAAATTTTGGAGCTGTTTATTATGTAAGTTTGATAACAAAATCTTGATTAGAACATATGTTTGTTTATTCAGGCTCGTAATTCTGAAACAAATGAAATTGTTGCTATTAAAAAAATGTCTACAGGGCGAAAACAAAATGCTGAAGTTCGTAGAATAAATATTAAAAAAAAAAAATTTATTCTATCAATTCATTTATTATCTTAGACATGGCAAGATATTTTAAAAGAAATTCGTTTTTTACGTGAACTTAATCATCGTCATTGTATAGCTTATCGTGGATGTTATTTAAAAGACTATACGACATGGCTTGCTATGGAATATTGTCTTGGTTCAGCAGCTGATATTATTGAAGGTTAAATTGAAAAAAGATCTATATTTCAAATCTTGTGCGTTTTTAGTTCATAAAAAACCTTTAGCTGAAGGTGAAATAGCTACAATTGTATGTGATACTTTATCTGCGCTTGATTATCTTCATTCAATGCATCGAATACATCGTGATATAAAAGCAGGAAATATTTTATTAACTGAACATGCTATTGTCAAATTAGGTAATTGAAATAGATAATAAAAAGAAAAACATCTAGATATATATATATCATTTTAGCTGATTTTGGTTCCGCTTCATTTACCAGTCCAGCAAATAGTTTTGTCGGTACTCCGTATGTATTACCGACAATTATTGATAATCGAAAATCTTGTTTTTCTTTTCTTTATTTCAAATAGCTATTGGATAGCGCCAGAAGTTATTTTAGCTATGGAAAATGGTCAATATGATGGAAAAGTTGATATATGGTCACTTGGAATAACTTGTATTGAACTAGGTAGATTTTTAACTTTGAATAAATTCCTTTTTTTAAAAGAAAAAGAAAACTTTTTAGCTGAACGTAAACCACCTTTATTCAATATGAATCCAATGTCAGCACTTTATCATATAGCACAAAATGAAGCACCAACATTAATGATGAATAATGAAAATCAATCATATACAAATGATTTTATTTCATTTATAGCAATGTGTTTAAAAAAGAATCCAATTGAACGACCATCAGCTAAAGAACTTCTAAATGTAAGAAAAAAAATATTTATAAATCATAAATACAAACAAATTGATTTTTTTTATTTTCAGACAATATTTATTACAATTAGAAGTAAACGTGAAATTCTAATAGAATTAATTCGACGTACAAAAGACGCTGTTAAAGAATTTGATAATATACGTTATCGTCGAATGAAAAAAGTTTTATTGGAACATGAAGAACAAAATAGTTCAAATTTAAATTTTCATCAATCAACTGACGCTATTAATATGGATATAGACAGCACAGCTAATACTCAAAATGAACTATTTGTAAGAGATTTTATTTACGAATAATTCCAATATAAGTTTTATTTATATAGGATGATCACACATTAGATGATGATGATACCCAAAGTGTCGATTTTGTATCTAGAAGTAATGAACTTCATCCAGGTGATGATGAAAGTTTGCATTCAAGTCGTTCAAGTCTTCAACAATTACCATCAACTATACATAAAGGTTTCTTATCTCGACAGTTGCCATCAATAGCAGCAACAACTCAACCAATACATAATCCAATTTATACTGGCATGCCATTAAGTATGAATAATCCTAATCGACGATTTACACCTATAGATACAGGTTCAACTTCACATATTAATCAGTTATCATCATCATCATCATCACAAATGAATAGTAATGAATCAACTACTGTTCAGATGAGAAGAAATGTAAGATATATCAGTAATATAGTATGAGAATTAGTATTTTAATGAGGACATAAGTAGAAATATTCTTATCCAAGTAGATAAAATATAGAATATAATAGCGTTACCAATGTTCCTTCTTTGTTATTTTTCTAACGATGAAAAAAAAACGTGTTATATTTATTTTCAGTCAATGGCTATTGATCGTCCATTATCGCATCAACGTCAACGTAATCATTTACCTAGAAACGAATTTTCTACTATAAAAACTTCACGAATTGTTATACGTGAACAACGTGAACATGATCAAGATGATCAACAACTTGAACAATTTCGTGGTTATAAACGAATGAGACGTCAACATCAAAAACAATTAAAACAGGTTTTATTGAATTATATTTATTTTTCTTTCTATAAACTTTTGTTTTTCTCCTATTAGTTGGAAGAACGTTGTCGTAATGAAAAAATGGAATTACGTTCGAAACTTGAACGTGAATACAATACATTTCAAGAACAAATTACTGTTGAAAATAATCGTTTATTAGAAAAACATCGTAAAGAATTAGCTGATCGAGTTAAATATAATCAAAATCATATAAGAAAATTTGAACGTGAACAAGAAGATACTTTTGATGATGAACTTAGACGTTTTCAACAAGAACAAATCAAACAATATAAAATAAAAAAAGATACATTTAAAAAAGTATTAAACTAATTGGAAAATTTTTTTGATTTTATAAATTATTTATTTTTTTCAGGAGATTTCCAGTTCATCAGCTCGACCAAAACATGAAAAAGAAGATGAAATTCGTCGATTAAAAGATGATTTACAATTAAAATTACGTAATGATGAACAAACATTAAAATCACAATTAAATCATGATCAGACTATTCGAAGATTACAATTAAAACGTCGAAAATTATTATTATTACATATTCTTGAACAAAAATTAATTCAAGAAGTTTGTTTTAATTAATTTATATTTTAACAAGAAAAAAACATAATGAAATTCTTTGTCTATTTAGAAATGTACAAGAAGTATGGATACAATTGTACAACGACATTCATTACTTAAAAAACATCATGAATTAACAAAAGAAATTGAACTTAAACAATTAGCTAGTTTACATAAGTAGGAATTCTATCTGATTTATTGTAAACTAGAAAAAGAATGTGAAATCCGGAAAAAGCTCTCAAGAGGAAGCTTACAATAGAACCATAATTCATCATTATCTCATCTGAAGTTTCGAGGACATTCTACATCTCGAGTATAGTTTGAATATAAATCTATAGAACAAAAGTCCCAATACATCTTAAAATTGAGAAGGATATGTTATTATAATGATCGTATAAAACTGAATTTTAGCAAGATAATTTGTTCATTAATAAATAAAATTACCATAGAATTATTGTAAATCTCGATTATATATGAATTCCTTTTATCTCTCATATGACTTCCTAGATCAACTTTAGAATACATAAAATTCTGAATATGTTGTTCTCTATAACGAAATCTAAAGATTAACATACGATAATAATTCATTGTATTTGTTTTTAGAATGCGAAATGAATTTACTCATAAACAACATCTAACAGAAATTCTTAATTTCAATGAATATAGTAATCGTCGTCAAAAAGAATTACTTAAACGACATGCATTAAGTCAAAAACAATTTCCAAAAAATATTAAAGTAAAACAAAAAATTATTTTATATAAAAATACTTTTTCCTTTTTGTTTTTTAGATAAAACAAGCTGAAATCAAACGTCAACATAAAGAAGCATATAATATACAAACTCGTCAATATAAAGCATTAAAAGAAAATATTCGTCTTGAATATGTTCATGCAACTACAAGTCAATCACGTGATGAACTTGAATTGAAATTAAAAACTATGAAAGATGATCAACGACGAAAATTTGATGTACTTTATCAGCGATATGAAGAAGCTGTACAAAAAATGCTTGATCAACAAAATGTAAAATTAAAAATATAAATGAATTTATTTTACTTTGTTGTTTTTGTTTTAGATAAAACTTAATTCTGATCAAGAACGAGAACGTAATTCATTGAAAGCAATACTTGATGAAGATCAACGAAGTTTACTTAGTTTACAAGAAGAAAGTCGTCTTAGAATGGAACAACAACATTCAGATGAAAGAAAACAATTAGAACGAAATATTGAAGAACGATCGAAAAAACTTTCTGAACAGGTATTTTGTTAAAGATCAAAATTCAATGTGTTGTAAGAATTCGAAAAACGTTCGATGACCTATTAATTATACAATTAACGACAGATAATGTTAATATAAAGTTCATTTATATTTTTATTTGTTCTGAGGAAATTCGAGCATATGGTAACCTTTCAATAGAAGTTTGAATAGGTTAAGTTGACCTAATCAAGGTCTCTAATATTATCGAAATATAATATCTTGATAGATGTACGACATTCTTTCTATTTTAAACAAACAACAAACTTCTTCACATTGTTTATGTGTATCGCGTACAATAAGAAAGGGTGTGTATTAGATTTCAACGAACTCGTGCACAGTCAATTCTTAATTTTTGCAGTGTTTATAGTGTAGGAGTTGTTTTTCGCTACGGGCTAAATGGGATTTTTGAAAAATATTCTTTAAATCAAAGAAAAGCATTATATTTCTTATTCGATCTTTTATTTCATAACAAAATTATGTGCTTAATCTATTATTGTATTTAGATGGAACTTGAATTAACTGAATATAATGAAGATCGTAATCGACAGTTTACCTTACTTTTGGAAAAACAACGTTTTGAATTATCTCAAACAGATAATGAAATAACAAATTTAGGTATTAATGTTACTGATTTAGCTGAAACTATTCAAAATATTCATTTTTTTGCTGCTAATCCATCTGGTCATTTATCTTCACAAGATAGACAATTATTATCAGCTAATAATCGTGCATCAATGATTAGTTTACAACGTTCATATAGTTCAAATTCTTTTGCATCAAATACAACGAATGGTAGTGGAACAGCTACACATAAGTAATATATGAATACTAATATTTTTTGTTTTGTGAATACAGTGATCTTTAATCTTTATTGTTGTTTCTCGCTTGTTCGAGTTTTATTCAGGTCATTTTTTTTGCTTCCATTTTTTGTACAAAAAAAAATAAAAATCTCTTCGTTTTTTTTCTCTCTTTCCTATATCTCGCAATCAGATTATGTTTGTCCATTTTTATTTCTGTCTAATGACTTATTTCTTCTTGTTCTTATTATATGCAACAAAAAAAAAAAAAGAAACAAACATTTTCTTTTCCTGCTTTGCTTCATATATATGTATGCACTATTTTTTTAAATGGTCTTCGCTAATATTTGACCAAAAAAAAACAAACATACTACGAAATCAAAATTAACACATATTTGATTGCTTTATAAATATATATATAAATATAATAATTAATAATTTAATTTTAGATTATTTCTTATTATTCGATTTTGCATTTTGTGATTTATACAATGAGTAATCATAACACAGGTCATGGACCAGTTGTAGTTGAACAATCAACAGCAACTGCCGCACCTATTCATGATGTTGTACAAGTATCACCAACAATACAATCAACACCATTAGGTAAGCTAAGGGATACAAATTCCATAACTAACTAACTTAAGACGAGCTTTGTATATTACTTATTGTTGATGCCTCTTTTTTTGAACTTATAGAGAAAGAAAAAAATAGATAATACGTTGCTATGATGATGAAATAAATATTCTTCGATTTTCCTATAATGATATTCATTGGTGGTAGAGTCATTAAGATAGACTTGTAAATGATATTTGTCTATAATAGCAAGATGTGTCTGTCAATATCGAACAGCAGTCTCGAGACTTAATCAATTTCGCGATGTAAATAAAATAATCTGTTGTCTGCAATTCATAAAAATTCTATTATATTAGGAAAGATCTATAGTACATCAGAACAAAATTTTAAAAGAAAGACCATGGTTATTCAATCTACATCTAACAAAGAATATCTTGATAACTAGAATTTTTATTTGTTTTATTATTGAAATATATAGTACAATAACTGATATAGAAGTCTGAAACTTTCTCCACGGTCAAATAGCGTAATAGAGCAGAACCACGTTGACAAAATAACAGCACGAGACGTTACTGGTATTGAAAAAACCTTGTCGCACAGTTTTCTCGCCAATATATATGTCATTAATTGTCTATTTATGTTCTTGGCAACCTATGATAATTAACATTTGCTATTCATCAAAAGGAAATACATTAGACAAGCTGTAAGCATCTTTGGAATTTTGTACTTGACAAGGAATAACGTACATTTTGTTTAAGTCAATTAATCTTTCTTGCAAATGAAAACATATAGTAAGATTTAGGTTATAGTAGTAAAATCTCTCCGAATAAATATTGTTTCGTAGTTATGTAAAATAATTTTAGCTACATTTAAATCTCTGTTTGAGAAATTGTGTATGTTGCTCATATAAAAAAAAACATCGTCTATTTATATTTTGAATAGATGAACCACCACCAGCATATGAAATCAATCCATCATCAAACAATAATGTTATCATTATTGAAAATGGAGATAGTGCCACAATAGGTGGAGTTATTGAAGCACCACCACCATATTGCCTTGTTGATCCAAGTAAAATTCGTAATTTGGATCATTTACCGCATTATCCACATATATCACCTGTAGAAATCATTGATCTCAATGGAAACAGTAATCTTGGCAATGACTTAGTAAAGAAATAGGATTTAATATTATTTTAAACCTTTTTTTCTTTCTCTAATTTTCTAGTCCTCACGCCATGTCAATCAAGCAGCTATTGCAGCTTGGCTTTCATCAGGTTCAAATATGGATATTGGTACTGATTGTACATTTTTAATGGCATTGTAAGTTTTATTTTCTTTATAATCTTTTTAATTTCTATTTTTTTTATTTTAAAGTATTATTGCATTCTTTTTCAATTGGCTTGGTTTTCTTGCTGTTGTTTGTCTTATTCCAACAATAGCCGCTCGTTTTGGTGCGATGTCTGGTTTTGGTTTAAGTGTTGCAAAATGGATAACCGTCATGCGTTATCATGAATTTAACAATAACCCATATATGGGAACTAACAATGTATCAGCAACATATCATCGAACACCAGTTCATGATCCTGCACAAAATTTTGTCTTTGCTATTGTTTTATTTGCTGGATTTTTTCTTTTTGTTCGTGGTTTAATATCATATATTGCAGTTAAAAATCGTGCAAATCAACATGGACAATCAGCAGATGTTTTTAATTGGTACTAAATATCAATACAGACAATTTTAATAAACTTATTATTTTTCTTTTATTCATGATCTGCTACTAATATTGTTCCAAACAAATAATATAATATTCATTATTTCCATTTGAATTATATTCTTAGAACAACAACAACTATATATATTTCCTTCGCTTTAATGTGTGTCTTATGTCTTTTTGCTTTTGTCGATGAGCTTTTTTTCGAAATAAATGTTATAACATATCCAGAAGCCTTGTAAGAGAAAAAAAATGTACGAAGTTTGATGAAACATATCCACAGAAAGAGTCTCTTTTGTTATAAATGATAAATACTGAATTTTATTAATTTATAATAAAGAGTATTAAATCTTATTTAGACAAAAAGATTTTTATGGTTAGTGGTTATTTCGAGACGGATACATCAAATTAAATGAAAGTATATTCTCTTTTGTAATCTTTTTTTTGCCATATCTGTCTTTATCCTCAGAAAAAATCTGAGAACATCAGAACATTTCTTCAGGTCGAATAGTTCTTTATTGTACTCGGTATAACATCATCTTAATCGCGTAATAACGAAACTTCGTATTAACCCTGGATACTACTATATTTATATTTATCTTGTGCGTAATTATTTTGATTACAAGTGTTGTCTACCACAAAAGAAAAAGTTCTATGTTTTCATAGTTTATTTATAACTTTCTTTTTAAAAATACACTATGGCATTGTACCCTTGACATTTGAAATGATTCTTTTGTAAACTATTTAAATTTAAAATAAAAAGATAACAACATTTTATTGTTTATCTTCTTTTTTTTTTATTTTTTTAAATCTTTATAAATAACCGAAATCATCCAATCTGATTAGATCTTTGTATGATGACGAAACGCAACAAAAAAAAAAGGTTATTTACAATAAATAAACAAACAAAAACACATACTAAAAAGGAGGTGAAAGAAAAACTATAACAACGAGAACAACAAACAACAACAACAGCGTCTTTTTCATTCTTATGTACAAATGATAGAAGAAAAAGAAAAAAAAGAAGGAAGGAAAAAAAGCAAGATACTGTTCTTAACTACCGACTAATACAGCAACCAACACTTTTTGCTAAGGAAAAAGGTAACCAATGAGATATGCTTGTGGAGATGAGGATGTTTGACTATTTGCATATATAAAATGAGACCATGCTGAATACACCGGATAATCGACCTGTACTCTTCAATCTTAATTTTGCTTAGAAAGATTTGGATGGATAGGGTTGAGATTATTTACAGTTTTATTCAATCATCTAATGACATTGATGCTTGTCGAAGATGTTCTCGTGCATGACGATGTGATTCTGAACATGAACATCCAATCACCATTTCACGATTCAATAAAGTATCAGCTGTTGCTTGATCACCAGTCGCAACTAGAATAAAAAGAAAAATTTACAATTAATTATATGAAAAATAAAATAGGAAATTTTTAAACATACTAGCTGTATGAACTGCTGATTGACCGAGCCAACCATTTTGATGTATATCAGATCCAGCTTTAAGTAAGTAGTCAATAATTTCAGCATGTGTACCACGAACAGCTATACATACAAAAAATGATAATAGTTAAAAATCAAAATTCAATATATATTTTTTAAGCTTACCAAGAATGAGTGGAATATCGCCATCATCATTTTTACAATTGACACTTGCTCCATATTTAACAAGTGCTTGTACAACTTCTAAATGACCACTTTGTGCGGCTGCATGTAAAGCTGAATAACCGAATTGTCCACATTTTTGTATATCAGCTCCAGCATCAATCAATGCTTTAACGATATCAACTCGACCAAGCATTGCAGCATTCATTAATGGTGTATAACCATATGCATCAGATGCATTGATATCTGCTCCTAATAAATATAAAATTAAAATTTTTATATGATTTCTTATTTTTTCCTATTAACATACCTTCACGAAGCCAACATTTAATACCTTCTAAAGATCCACATTCAGCTTCTTCTGGTAAAGAACGTTTTGTTTTTTGTGGACTATTGAATAAATTGAGCAAAAGATCAGTTGTTGTTTTAATCCATGAAACTGGATAATAAATATCAGTTGAATCAATTGATGGCATGTTTAAAACAGTAGTAGATTTGATAATCTAAATCGACGATGAATATAATAAGAATTGTTTTTTGTACTCTTTAGTATACCCCAAAATCTGACCTTGTATTTATTTGCGTAGAAAATCTCTTTTTCTCTCTCTCCTTTTCTCTTACCCGGGCTCTCGATTTTGCACTCTGTTTACATACATAGGAGATACTATTCGAGAACGAATAGAAGTAACTATCACGCGCAATGCATGCAATACGTCGTCCTCTCTCTTTTCTCGTTTCTTCTACTACTGTCACATGCTTCGATGAGAACAAGAAGAAAGATGATTGGTTATACTAACTCAGTAAAAGGCTTGTGATGCATGTTGTCGAATATAGATGACATGCAGTGAATGTATGGAATATCAGGAAAAAAAAGTTGTACAAAATTTTGTTAGGCCGTTCCAGAAATACATACAGAACTTTGTATGGCATGATCAATTATAGACTCAAATTGCTCTTAGATATGTTAAAGACCGAAATCCATTGAGAAAAAAAGAAACTATCATATAGGGTCAATTTAGATTATATCTTGAATTTTCTGTACTATTTTTTTTTACTTATAAATACATATGTTCAATTAAATACGAAAAGTATAAACTAGTATTATCTTTTTTTAAGAATATCTTTAGTGATGTTAAATTCCACCTACTTGTATTAATGTGTAAGAGTATGTAATAAGTTTTGAAGATTCGTTTGGTTGTATGTGGCTATGTGCACAAAAACCGAGAATAAAATATGAGTTATAAAATAATTTTGCCACAGATATTTATTGCCGGGACAAGGAGAGGAAGAGAGAGAAGCAAGAAAAATTTTGTGCGTGATGCAGAGTAGGTCGTATGATTCTATCACGCATTCACTGTATGCTTCCTAGCTGTTCCTTTTGTTCTTTCCTACAACGTCACTGCCTGAAACGAGTCGACGGCATCACGGGTTCTATGCGTGATCAACATTTTTATTTGAGTTATAGCACGAGGATAGCGCGTTAGCTCAATATTATGCGTAGTTCCTTTTTTATGAATATATATATAAAAAAAAGGAATGTTATATAGATAATCAAAAACGAAAATTTCACGAATACTAAATACAATATGAAATTTTCACAAGGAGGTGTGTCAACCATATTGTATACATATGGTTATTACGTTATCTTTGTCTAAGTGCATTTATGAAAAATCACTATATTTAGTGCCTATAATCAAAACAAATCGTAATAAATATAGAGATATATATTACTTAATTAGAGTTATTAATGAACTTTCAATTATTCATTAATTAGAATTAATTTTTTTTTCGCCATTTTAAATATTGTATCTGTATGTCTCTAGGGTTACAGAGAATGAATAGTGACATTGTTTGTTTTTCTTTGCGTTGGTGTGATCGAAATGCACACATCACAATAAATAATACGAAAAGAGTGATCTTTGGAATTGCCACGTATTATTTCTTTCTTATAAATTCGTTCGAGTATATGTAGTTAATAGTACACTATGTAAATCAACAGCGATAAAAATAAACTTTTTTTTTTCGAATTACGTGTTTAATGATCACCTAAAAAAACATCACTTAACCATGAATTATTTTAAAAAAATAATATGAATGTTATGTGTTTTTTTTACGTTTTTGAATCTTTTAGCGTTACTATTGTCGTAAATGAAAACATAAAAGGTCGATATGTTCTTTTTATTCATCATTATACAAACATTAACTTCACAAAAGAAACGGAAAAAAATGAATAAATCATTCCCGAAAGAAAGAACGAAATTACACAAGGCCATATGTCGAAATATCATATTCTTATGAAAGGGAAAAAGTCAATAGCGTTGATCAGGTACTTGTAGAGGTCAGAATATTTATTGCGTCGTTATTATTATTATCAATCATAGATAGCTATTAAGAATGCAAAACAGGTGTCTGGTAGTTTTTATAATGTGAATGTATGCAAAAATATTCGGCACTAGTTCGCAACGAGCGCATTTTCATCCACATATATGCTTTCATTAATTTTTAAAGAAAGCAAGAAAATAAAAATCTTTTTAACTATATATTATTTTATTATTCTGTTTTTGAATTGAAAATATTTGTCTGTATGTAATTAAAACTCATCAAGGTTATATTTATATTTTCGTCTTATAGAAACTTGAATAATTCATTAAATATAAATAATTATAAATTAACAAAAGTTTAATATGATAAAATTTAGAATTAGAAAAAATATGCAATTCTACAAATGCTTTGTTTGATTATATTTTCAAATTATAAGAATACAAGTCTTCGTATTTACATACGCTGAATCACGAAAAGAATACATGATCAAGTCATTTCGAAATAAGTATGTGACATATGATGAAATTTGCATGACTTATGAATAAATAACAAATATTCTGCCATATTTTCTTTAGAAATATTTTGCTTGATAAAGAAATAATATTGAATACAGAATTCTTAATCAAAACATTGTATAGATAAAATTTCTAACCAGAATATACTCGAAAGATTTATAAATTTATCTTAACTGGCACTACTATTTTAAATAATGTCCTATAATACTTACACATTCGAATCGCGCTTATCTTTACTTACTAAGTGATATAAAGAATTCTGTACGAACAAGATATATCTGTAATAATCATAACTAAAATTTTGAAAATCATTGTTCATTAAACAGATGACGCTAGAATACAATATTAATTATGTTAGATAATAAATTGTAATAATTGTAATAGATTTTTATAATCTTCTCTTTTGATTCTCTCGGATAAAGTTGTATTAAACTGAATAGATTTTGATATTCACATGAAAAAGTTAAGCCAATAATTGTAACCTATGGATGAGTCATTGCATTTTTTTCTGATAAGAATTTTGTTTCAACCGACTTGAAAAAACTCTTTGATTATAATCGTGATGACTTCTATTGCAACGAAATGGGCACCAAAAAAACGTGATTATGTATCTGAACATAAGCTAATAAACAAAACCACAAATGTAACAACAACTCATCCTCTTGGTGTTGCTTTAATTGTATGTATAGAAAAATTAAATATTTAAAAAATATTATTTCAATAAATTCCAGGCAAACAAACCGCAAACAGGAACACCAACGTTATCATCATCTCCGATAATTGATCCTCTATCGAAGATTACAACACAAATTGATATTGATCCATTATCACGTGCATTAGCAGCTGCAATAACATCAACTAAAATTGATTCAACAAAAGAACATTCATCAACAGTACTAGATACATTTGAACCATGGTCAAGTAAAAAAAGTCTTATATTAAATCAATATAATACAACAAAAAAGATTAGTATGACAACAGCTATGAATAATAGTAATGATGAATCGATTATTGATACAAAAGGTACCAAAAAAAAGAATTTTTATTTATTTCATTTCTCTTATTTTTTTATTTCTATAGTGTCAGATATGACAACAACATCTGAAAGAATTAAAAATCGTCTTGAACAATTAGATGCATTTGAAGTAAAATTATTTATATTTTGCAAAAATTTAGTGAAATATATCGATGTTTTATTAAGGGTGGACAACAAACACAAAGTTTAACTCAACAAGAATATATAAATCGTATCAATGATATGAGTCGAGAGATGAGTCAAGCATGGAAAAGCGATCAACGTGTAAAAACATTAAAAATTGTTATACAAGTAAAATAAAAATAAATTTTCTGAGTCTTAATTTTTCAATAAATATTCTCGAAATTTTTAGTGTTGTAAATTATTAGCTGATATGAATGTTATGGAATTTTATCCAAGTAAATTTTGTTTAATAACAGATGTCATAGATACTTTTGGTAAGAAGTTACGATATAAAGTTAGAATTTTTTATTTAATTAATCTTTTGTGTTTAGGAAAATTGGTTTATACACGTTTATTAGAAAAAAGTGCATCGTCAAATGGAAAAATTCGTAAATAGACATTTGAATATTTATTTGAAAATATGTTCTTTTTTGTTTCATGTAGCTGATCGTATTATACCTGATCTTGTTCCAGAAGCAACACGTGAAACTGCTCGTAATTGGTTTTATAAAATAGCTATTATTCGTGAATTATTACCACGTATTCTTGTTGAAACAGCTATTCTTAAATGTTATAGTTTTTTATCTTCAACGTATGACAAAAGAATTTGTTTTTATTATAAAAAAAGAAATCTTTTATAGTCATTATCAAGCTACACTTGTACAATTAATGAAGATGTGTCGTGGTATTGGTGATCCACTAGTAGCTGCATATACTCGTTGTTATATTTGTCGAGTAATTAAAAAAAAAGAAAAAGAAATTTTTGTTGATTATTATTAATATTTAAAGGTTACTATTGATATTGATTTTAAACATCGTGAACCTATTGATATAGCTTTTACGGATTTATGTCAATCACTTCATCAAATAAATTCACCAATTGTTAAAAATTTGTATTCATCACAAAAATTAACAACTAGCATTTATTTATCATTATATTCACCTGCATTGGATTGGATTGTTCAATGTTTATTACATAAATTAGATGATACAAAAACAGAACAAATTATTAATAAAACACGATCAACACTTAATACATCTAGGTTTGTAGAAAACTATTTATTTGAATAGGCAAAAAAGAATATTTATATATTTTAGTGGTGGTGTTGTACTCAATGCACTTTTAAATACACTTCCACCAAGTCATGTTCGTTCAAAAGTTCAAGAATACATTACAATGATTAATGAATGTGATGCAGAATTATTTCCAAAAGTAAATTAGAAATATCTAATATTATTTCAATATATCGTTGTTTTTTTATTATAGAGTATACTTTATCGTTCTCTTGGTCTTTCTCTGCTGTTATCAACACCAGCATCAACACCATCTGATATTCAAATATTAAATAGTGTTTGGAAAGTAGTTACAAAGTTTAAAGAACCAGCGGTAAATTAACTAATTCAATGCATGAGAGAATGTCATTTAAATGAAAAAGTTTTGATTTTGAATTCCTAAAGAACATTTAATACTAAGTCTTCATACTCACCACTAAATAATATATCAAAGATTTATAGAAGAATTAAAATTTATTTAAATGAACTTATGTCAATAAAGATTGTTAGTAACGAGAAATTTTTTTTACAAAAATTTATATTTATTATAGCCATATATGGCATGTGCTGAGGTTTGGATTGAATTAACATCCAAAGAATATACGGTATGATGAAATAAAAAATATTGTTTATTTAATTATTGTTTAGTTTTTATAGACACGAGAATTGAACACTATGTTGGGTGATGTTGTTAAACATTTGACACCTGATCGTGCTTTTGAAGAATATTATGGAAAGTTACATGGAATTATGGTTAAATTATTAAATAATATTGAAGATTTTGCATCATTATTTGCTATGGTATATAATAGAAAAAGAAAATAAGTTGATTAATCTGAATATTTTTGTTATTATAGGATAAAATCTTACCATTTCTTGATTTATTTCAACGAGAAAATGTTCGAGTAGATTTATTTAAATCGATTTTACAAGCATTTGTTAATAGGTTCGTATTAATATATTTCTTTATGTTACTTATTCGAAATTTTCATTATAGAAGTTCACAAGAAAAAACGAATGATCCAGTATTAATAGCAGCAATGACGCATTGTGCTAAAAGTGTTCACGATACACTTGGGTTTGTTTGTTTATTTCAATACAAAATTTATAATAGAAATTTATTTTATTTAAGAGCTTTGACAAATGATGATGAATTACGTGAAGTTAGTGGACTTTTATCTGCAGTCATACGTAAAGTTGATTATGAAAAAGATGTTGAACAAGAACTTAAATTTTGTGTTGAAGCTCGTGGTTTATTTGGTTATATAGATTCAGTTACTATTACACTTATACAGGTAATCACAAAACAATATATCTCTTAAAATCTTTTCAAATCATGGAATTTCGATTACTCGAGAAAGTTTCGGAATCGTTTTAAATATCCATTTGTCTTGTCTGATAGGATAATCAGAATCATCTCAGTTATCTTACGAGATCACATTTGATAATAATTCCATAGAACCCTAGTATTGACAATTCTAATGAATACCATTTTTATTTCAATAATAGATTTATTAAACAATATGTTTATTATCTAGAAAGTAAATACATTAGCCGTATCAACACATCGTATTGTAAATGGTACACATTCAACAGCAACATCATCATTCATACGTGCTTGTATGGCTTTTTGTTATATATCAATTCCATCATTAGAACATCCTTTACATAAACTTAATTTATATACATTATGTGCACAAACTGCATATTTAAATCAAAGTCTTTCACAAGGTTTGAAATAAATTATATTTTGAACAAAATGATTATACTTATCAAATGAATGTATATGTATTTAGGTGATGGTTTTCTTAAAACAGCTATAACGCTTCTTTCTGATTTTCCTAAACAAATTGAAATCGAAGGGAAAGTAGTATCAAGTGATAGATATTTATATGAATCAATTACAAATATAATGTCAACACTTGTTATCGTACCTGTATGGAATTAAATTAATAAAATAAAAATACAATTGAAAAAATTTATTGAATTTCTTTTTTTAGGATAATCCTGATGCAGGTGTTTTATATTTAGCGCATGGTTTAAGTAATGTTATTAATCAAATGAAATGTTTTGATGAGGCAAGTGAAACACGTATAACACTTCTTATGAATATGTTATGTCTTCTTTCAACACAAATTCAAACATTATTACCATATCATATTTCAAAAGGTAAATAAATATAGAAATATTTCTTAAGTTCTTTTTTTGTTGAACATTAGTCGAATCAAATGATACTTTATATGGTAATGATGAAAAATTCCTTAATGAAATATATCAAAGATTAAATAAACTCTGTGAACAAATAATACAGACACTTAAAGATTTAGCAAATACAGTAAGAATTATAAATATAGATAAAAATGAAGCTAATATTATTTGCTAATATTTAGAATCCAAAACGACAATCATCACTTGCAATTGAATTCTTCAATCGTTTCATAGCACATACAGATTTAAATCAACAAAAATGTATTAAATTTGCAGCTAATCTTTGGAATTTATCACAAAGAAATTCTAATCCTGATACACAAAAATTCGCGGTATAATAAAAAAAATCATTAATTATATCAATAATATCATTTTTATTATTTTTAGAAACGTATATTAACCTATATTGAAATTCGTTCTAATAGTGATCAATCTTTTAAACGTTTATATGAACTTATATCTGGTAGTACAAATGATACAAATCACGTATCATCTCGTTCATCATCCACATCAAATTCCGTACATTCATTTAACACTGGTGATTGATATCGTTTGATAATTAGCAATAATGATTAATTTCCTTTTTTTTTCTATTTTTAATACCTGTGATTATTCGATTTTTCTTTTTGTTGAAACAAATATGATTGATTAATGTATTTTCTTATAATATAAAGATTTTTTAGAATCGATATTTATTCAGTTGATTCATGAAGTTGAAAAATAACCTAATATTTTATGGTGAAAAAAGGCAATCTTGTATAATATTTATTCTATATTAATTAATGAATTGAAAAACGATTCTATGTTAACACGAAACTATATTTTGTGCCTTTATATAATTCTAAAATGAACACGACAAAAGAGAAACAAATGATATTAATTTCTTTTTGTTTATTTTAATGATAGCACCAAAACTAAAAGATTGTTATTTTTTTCAATTGATTTAACATGATACAGTTGTTTGACAATATCTTTCTTCTTTTAATGGTCCACATCGTTTACCACCATTACGTGCACGACGTACAGGAACACGTGTACGTGTTTGTACTGCATCTTGTCCACAACCTGTACATGGAGACCAAATACTCCATTGACTTACAACACAATCAGTAGGTGCTAAAAGAAACGAATAGATAAAAATAGATATATATGTATATCTATAAGCAAATACATACGACAACGATTTAAATGACATGGTTGAGTTTCTTCAAATGTTAATGATCGACAACGATATTCATCAGCTGTTTTATGATGATTTAATAATACTCGACTACGACGACGAATACCATTCGAACCACATGTTACTGAACATTCACTCCATTCAGTCCAAGGACTCATTGGACATGATAAATCATTAGCTAAAAAATGATTAAATTAACTATTGATTTGTTTATTTTTTTCATTTCTTACTTTGAACGAGAAAACTTTTACAAGCAGTTTCACATTCCATTTGATTTGCAAAATTATTTTTATTATTACCACGAGCAGGACATGTACCAATACCAGAAAATGGTACACATGCCATACTTGTTTTATTATAATAATATCGTTGTAAACCACGGCATCGATTGTCTTCAACGGGTTCGGCCATACAACGATCTAAAAAGAGAAATAGTCAATTTTATTAAATTTATAATGACATCAACAAACAATATGATTTTTTTACTATAGTTGATAGTAAATATCGATTTAGGACGTAGAAACGGAAGAAAAACAGCTGATAATAGTGTCAAGATGGATTTAATAAGATGTTACTTGAATTCATCAAAATTTATTTGATCAAAGGATAATGATGAGAATGGATTCTATTCGCTATACTAATATAGTTGACAGCAATAACTTCTCAGATCTCGATATATTTCTTTAGTAGTCAAAGATTCAATGATAAATTTACCTTTATTTTCAACTTTATTACAATTCATTGTATCTGCACCTTGACATTGACGTTTTTCAATTAAATAAATATCTTTACATTTTGGATCATTATGTGAACTATCACTGATATACCATCGTCGTCTTTCTGTTGTTCCCTGACCACATGATACTGAACATGGTGAAAATGATGACCAATCTGTCACAGCACATCTTGAACAAATAATAATTTATTTAAAGTATTATATTATTAAAGAATATTATAATTTACGGTGCAACTTGTTGATTTTCATCATCACAATCATCACCCATTCTTTCATAACACATTTCACTTTCACTTAATCGTTCATTACATCCATGATGATTCGTATTTTTATACATTCTTAAAATAAAATTATTTATTAAAACTTACAGGAAAATAAAATAAAAACCTTGTTCGTGTTCGTAAACCATTTCCACATTTGACATTACATGGACTCCAATCTACCCATGGTGATGTCATACATCGTGGATCTGTTGGTTGTTCATCTGGAATTATCAATAAATATTTAATAAGTTAAAACAAATTAAGAAATTTACCAAGTAATTCAACGTTTGTTTTTGCAACTTCTTTTTCACTTTCGACTTCACTTGTACGACTTAAATCAACAAAGTTTGGACCAAAATCAATAACTGGTGATGTTTCACTATGCTGTATTCGACCATTTGGACAAGATACACCTTGTGCCATCACTCGTTTAATAGTTAATTTAGCAAATGGAGGTGGTTGAGTACCTAAAATATTCAAAAACAAATAGTATATCTTTACTCTTCTTTGTTTTCTAAATTTCTTACCAAAAAATGGTGATCGATTATCTGTAATATTACTTGAAAGAATTGGTGAAATTGGTTTACGTGTCATTTCTGGTCGTTTTGGACCCTACAACACATAAATAAAAAATATTTTCTACTTGTATTTTATCACTATTAAAAATGCAAATTATTTACATTATATCTCACACCCATATCTGTTCCGGCATCAATTGGATGAAGTAATTCTTCGTAACTATCCACCCATGTACAATTTGGAAGACATAAATCAAGACCAGATATACCTAGAGATCATATCATAAACTAAAACATATATTCAATTTAAGATATATTCATATTTACCAGCGACCCAATCGGGTGATGGTCCAAGCATAGTAACAAATGATAAGAAATGATGATTTCTAGAAGTTGTAAAAGCACCTGCTGTTGATTTGCTTACATTAACTGTCCAAAGACCAGGTACAATCATTACATTACGAATAACACCAAATTTTGTCTAAACAAACATAAATCTTGTTTTTTGAATAAGAAAATTAAAAAAAACAATCATTTACATGATTTTTAATTTCTTTTTGCATTGTACCAATTGCACCCCATTCAGCAACTTGTTTAAGACCATCACTTGCAATATCACCAAAATTCCATACTAAATTTAAAATCATATACAGTTACAAAATTATTCATTTAATTAATCATATTACATGAATATTCTTGACTATGAGTAGCTCCAATTATGTCAGACCAATGAAGAAGATGTTCTAAATTTGAGAAAATAATATATATATAAATGAAAAGATATATTTTTTCTTACCAGGTGGCCAATCTTTTGGATGTGTTTGTTTTGACCAAAGACCTTGAAATGTTAATTGAAATTTTGCTTCATCACATGCACAACATGGATTACGAGGTCGATGAATTGCTTTTGGCATATCTAAATAAAATTCTTTATCTAACAATCAGTTTTTTTCTTAATTCAAACAAACCCATCATCATTTGTTTCTGTTTATTTTTTGTTGCATTATTATCACAATCAATTGTACATTGTTTTTGTTCTTCTAAACGTTCTGAACAAAAACCAGTCATAGCTGCACGTTTATCTGCATACATTCTTGTTCGTATTTGTACACCTGGTTTAGTACATGTAGCATTTGAACATGATGACCAATCAGTCCACATTGAAACAAGACAACGTGGATCATGAACCACTATAAAAATAATAATTACACAATTAATAAGGCAAATAACTTAAAATATATATATACTTGATTTATGATCTTGAATAAGTTCATCACACATAGCTCCACATTCTTCATGTGTCATAAAATTATTTTCATTTCCTATTTGACAAAAAGGACATAAAGTAAACTTTAAAAAAAAAAAAGAAAATGTCTTTTAATACCTCGACAACCACCATATTGAAATTTTGTGCATTTACGTGTTGTTACATCAAAGTAAAATCTATCAATAAATTTCGTACATGGTCCAGGTTCAAGTGGTTGCATACATTTTTCTAAATAAAAATATATTTTCCTAGTAAATATTGAATTAAATCTTCAATTTATTCTAACATACGTTTTCTTTCTGCTATTTCCATATTTTTAATCATTGTTCTTCGTGTATCCGATAAACGATACATTTGTGATGGATCACATGTTGTATCACAATCACGAAATTCTTCTAAGGGTTCCGAACAAAATCCCATAGCCATAAATTTAACTTTATATGTACGAAATCGACTTTGTGTTCCAGGTCCACAAACAGATGAACAAGCACTCCATTCAGACCATGGTAATGTCATACAACGTGTATCTTTACCATCCTCTAAAATTATAATATTTATATTTATACTTATATATTATAAAATATTTCTTTAATTAAACCTGTTCGTCCACGTAATAAAATATCGCACGTATCTTCACATGTATCACGTGTAAGAAAATTATTATCATTAGCACCACAACCACTATAATCAAATTCTAAACATTTACTCATATCCAAATTAAAATAAAAACGTCGTTCATATTGTGAACATGAACCAGTTTCAACTGATTGCATACATATACGTTTTTTTTCTATCATATCTGTTAAACGACCTTGTTCACATAATGGTTTCATTCCACGACAAGATTCTTTTTCCATTAATTGATATTCTGATCGACATTCTGGTTTATCTCCACCTTTTAACATTGTACGAGATCGTGTACGCATACCTTCACCACATGTCACTGAGCAATGTGACCATTCTGACCATTCACTTGCCATGCACCTAAAATAAATAAATGTTTTCTTAACAATTCACGATTCAATGTAATAATAGGAAATACTTACATTGAATTATTTAATTTGCTTGAATGATCATTCATATTTGTTGATAAACATGATGCCATATGACATGAAACCATATCATACGTTCTTTCGTTGCAATGATGACGAAAAGCTTTATCTGGCATAAGATAAGTACGTCGTCGTGTTTTTATTCCATGACCACAAGTAACTGAACAAGATGACCATGGTGCCCATTCTGTTGTGCGACATTCAGGTGATGATGTTTCTTCTTTAAAAATATATAACAAAGTAATATGAATATTTTTGTTTTAAATTATTTACCGTAAGCATATACTAAATTTCCTGAATAATCATATTTTTGTTTTAATCGTTCATTTCGATGATTTGCTTGTGATAAATCAATATCAGTCGATTGATCTTGTTGATTTGTTTTATGAGGTTGTTGTGTATCTTGTTTATTATTTGGACAATGAGAACCACGAACAAGTGTACGTTGAAGAGTGACACGTGCTACTGGCATTATTGGTTTACCTATTTAAGAATAAATAGACATCAACAGTATTTTAAGAATTAAATTTTAAAAACTTACTCATTGGATCATGAAACGATGATGTTGGAGATACAGTACCAGTAATCGTATGAATTTTTTCCAATGGAACCGTTGGTAATCGACTTGCCTAAAATAAAATTCAATATAATATTTTCAAAATAAATTATATTTACTGCATATGTCATTCCACTATCAACTCCAGCATCTAATGGATAAAGATCTTCTGAATATTGTTCTACCCATGTACAATTTGATAAACATAAATCAACTCCACTAATTCCTATATATAAAATAATTTATTATTTATATAAAACAAAATATCTTAAGTAGCGTAATAACAAAGCATTAAGAAGAAGAAGAAGAAATATACCTGTAAACCAGTCAGGACTGGGTGAAATTTTGCTAACAAAACTCAATTTAGAATGATGAGGAGAAACAGTAAATACATTCATTGTTGACGCAATTTCATTAGATGATATTTTTAAAGGTCGAGCAAGTATTAAACTACGTATAACTCCATTGAATGACTATAACAAACAAAAAGCACAATGAACACATATACAACATAAAAGACAAATATATAAATGTAATAAAAAGAAGACAACATAGAATACAAATATTTTCTTTTCTTGTATTTTTTTCAGAAAAAGAAAATCTACCTATGAAAGAATCGGCTGATTTTATATTTTCATCAATATATCTATTAACAAGAGATAATCGAGGAAAATCATGATTAACTCGAATAGCTTGATACCACCCTGTACCGGACGTTACAAAACGTAAACCAACTGATCCTCTATTATGTTGCTAATCGTGTTTAATAAAAAAATAATAATGAAGAAAAAATAGATTTTCTTAGTTTATTCGTAGTAATACTAACTTCATTTGCTAATTCTTGTTCAAGTGTATGTGTTTCACCGGTTAAAACTAAATCACTTAGAGCACGATTTGCATAGGAACCAACTTCAAATAATGTATAATTTGGATTATGAACAGCACCAACAGTTGTTGAAAAATGTGCTTAAATAGAATGATTTTTATTAAAAATTAATAAGATAAATTTGGTTTTTACCTGTTGTTGATGGCCAATCTTTTTTATGTGTTTGTGGTGACCAAAGTCCTTTAAATGTTAATTGATATTTTGCTTCACCACAAGCACAACATTGTTGCATCATTTTTTTCATATGCATTTCTAAATAGAAAAATATTTCTCATTAAATGCATGATTAATTATTTCATCAAAATACGAACGATCTTCGCACATTGTGTACGTAAGAGCGTTATCATCTTTAAACCAAACTGTATCGGAACGTACTACAGTTGCTCTATAAAATAGTTTAAATTAATTAAAGTGATTTATACACAATATATATGTATATATACTTGAATGAAATACATCCTTGTGGATGACGTGGTGCAATCCAATCGACAGATATGGAATTTTTTGATTTATCCGGATTAGCATCTGTAACACCACCTTGACAATTACGTTGACTAATTGTAGCTTCTTGCATTGATTCGTCATTCGTATTTGTTGATGGTAATAATTCAAAATGTCCAATGGGTTTATATGATTGTTCATCAGACCATGTTGACGAAACAGCAATAAGCATAAATTCTTTAAACACGGATTGATAAAACTGACTTTTGAAACCACTCAATGAAACTATAAACAGAAGTCTTATGTGAATTATTTTTAATTTTAAATCATACCTTTGTATGTTCGTCCTGGAACGTATGTTTTAAAACCTCCTTCAACAGTTATACGAAAACCATTATCGCCTGATGTTTGAGGTACGAAGTATCGTGATGAACGATAACAAGTAGGTGGTTGTGCAACAATAATATTGAATAAAATAAATAATTGAACAAACCACACAGTCAACATATTATAATTAACGTAGTATATATCAAGAAAAGGAAATTGTTCGTTTTAACTAAGAAATATTAATTTTCCAGAACACGACCGACAATTGACATAGAATACAAGAAAAATAATAATAACAACAACTGCTAAGGCAAAGAATTATATGCTTGTATATGGAAAGCATCTGGAAGGAAGAAGAGAGAGAGAGAAGAAAGTAGTAAATCAATAATAAGCGAAAGACAGTATATCTTAGTCAAGAAATGAGATGTTGATGATGATAAAAAGACGGTTTCTTTTCTTCTTTCGTCTTTTATTTCTTTTTCTATTGCTTTTTCTTTTGTGATACTATTATTTCCTAATATATCAACTATTGATAAAAAAAAATAAAATAAGACTAAAGACAGTTCTGATAATTGCTAATCATGTCAATATATACCAAAAAAAAGAAAATACTATTCATATTAAACCGACATGTAATTAAATATATATTTTTTTATCACTCGAAGGAATAGAAACACGTTCATATTTGAAAATAATAAGTGCATAGTTTTTATTATATTTGACATTTTTTAGTCAATTAATTAATAATTTAAAATTTTTATCGATTCAGAATTTATTATTTAACTAAGAAACTTGCACTCTGATTGGCCTTGAAACTATTTTTAGTGTTCGACATAGATAAATTCAATGGAAAAAAATGCCTATCTTAATAGTACGAATGTCCAATGATATACATAACAAAAACTACTGTTCTGATAAATAGTGCTTCGAGGACATATAGATAATACCAAACATGTCATCTTTGAAGGAACAAACAGATGGTATTGCCTGGATGAGATTCTTTCGATATGCACAATTTATTAATAATCTCCCTACGGAAATAAATAAAACATCGCTAATATAAGAAATACTAAGCTTATATCGATAGATTAACGAGAAAAACAATTCTCAACTGAGATAATTACTAGAACATTTTCTGGCGAGAAGAAAAATAACTTATTTTTCTTTTCTTCATTATTTATTAACTTTTATTTACCTACGACTTTTTAAATATATATAAAGAAACGTCATAGTTGCGAGTGCACTAAAGGAATTACTTGATAGTTTCTTAGAATTACTTTCTTCTATATATATCAAACAAACCGAAATGAAAATAATTTTGAATATAAATCAAAGAGATTTTAAATAAATATTTTAATCTATTAATTCAACAAGCAATAGATGAAAGAATAACCTTATGATGTACCTGTAATATCCCATGATGCTAATTAGTGTCTTACTATGCAAACATAAATCATTTCAAATAATTTGCTTCAAAAACGATAAACATGTCTAGTATATAATCTATTTTTTCAAGGTAACAGACAGCAAATGAATGTAATACGGGTACAAAAAAAAACAAGGTAATACATGCATACACATATATCCTACTAATGAACATAATAAACAAACAAGAATTGAATGAATAAACAATAACAGAGTTGTTTTAGTGTCTAGAACGACAAGTACACACACACACGAAAAATACATACAATGAGATAGAAGTAAAACATGAGATATTAATTATTGACTATGATACATGAGGTATATGATGTAGATGTTTAGTTTAAAAACAATGAAACAAAAGAAATGTTCTTTATTGACCGTTATTTGATGTAACAGTAGCTGTTTCATTAGCAGATGTTGCCACTACTGCTGGTGTTGTAGATGGTTTTTTTGGTCGACCTCGTTGTTTTTTGGCTGAACCATCATCATTGGCTAATGATATCTTAGGTTTTGGTGCTGCCTTTTTTACACCAGATCCTGATGGTCGACCACGTTTTCTAGCTGATAAATCTTCTGTTGGTTTTGATGGTGGTGGTGAGACTACTACAACTTTTTTTGGTGTTGCTCCTGCTGATGGTCGTCCACGTTTTCTTTTCGTTAATTCATCACCACTATCTTGTTCTTGAGGAATGGCAACTGGAGCTGCTTGAACCTAAATTAAACATTATTTATTAGTATAATTTTTAAAATTTCTTCAAATATTACTTGTGGTTTCTTTATTCCATTTGTTTGTTCATCGGGTGTATCAATTTTTGATGGTCTACCACGCTTTTTTTTATTTGCATCACCGTTAGTTTCGACTTCTTCTTCTTCTTCTTGTTGTGGTACAACTACTTTTTTCGCTGGTGATGTTTCAACTGCTTTTGGTGGTCGACCACGACCACGACCATTTGTTGGCGCATCTACTTTCTTGACAACTTTTGGTGAACTAGTAGATTTTGGTGGACGACCACGACCTTTCTTTCCATTAGCAATACCTACTCCTGATGGACTATTGTCACCTTCATCTAAATATTCAAATTTATTTTTGTACTATTCAAACAAGATCTAATTACCATGATTGCCATTAGTTATTGCACCTGTATCCATTGGTAAAACACCAGCACTATCATTTAAAGCTGCAACATTATTTTGCTGTTCCATGATTATTTATTTAAATGAATGAAATTATCTACGGCAAAAACAAGGAACAAAAATGTCTCAATGAGATAGATTGACCGATGTATGTGTAATGATAGAGAAAGAACAAATGAACAATGATCGATTGATGATCCTTCTTTGTTTACTATTGGCCAACAAGAAATTGAACTAATCCGAGAATAATATTTTAAAATGATTTTTTTTACGAAAATATTTTTCTAAATTAATATTAATTCTTATTTTTGTTTTGTTTTAATCACATATGAATATGACAAATAAATACATCTGATTTATTCCTGAAAAAGTGACATCTATTGCTTTTGTATTGAGTTTCTTATTGGTTCAATAAGAAGAAAATGAAAATGTTTAATTGAAGTCATCTCTCTTCCACGTTTGCTTTTTTTTTCCTAATAAACAAAAACACACACACGGGAAATAAAGATACTGTACAGAAAAAAAACAATGCTCGGAAAACAAACAAACAAACAGATCGGGTATAAAAGACAGAAAAACGAACCCGTTTCTATATACTTGCTGTTATATATACAAGCAAAAAAAAAGTGGTCACATAGAAGTTTTTATACATATATACACGAGAAAAACGATGTTGTTGCTTCTTTTTCTTTATCATCAAATGTACATAAAGAGAAAAAAAACATATTCATATGTTAAGGAGAGAGAGAGAGAGAGTAGGGGGAGGGATAGACAAGAAATAATCACAGATGGAACAATGACGCGTACTGTAATATAGAGAATAGAAGATATACAAATATATATACACATACATAGAAAAAAAAGACATGAGACTGTTCTTTAATGTTATGCACAAAAAAAAAGAGAAAAAACTCGAACAATAAACCAAATAAACAAACAAACAAACAAACAACGAATCAGTTGATTGTGAAGCAATGAAACGAAACGAAAAAAATGTAACAAGAAACGAACTAATGGCACTAAACCGGGAAAATCAACTCTCTCTCACTCACTTAATTTACAACACACAGAAGTAAAAGTAATAGATACCTGAAATGGTTTAGTTGTTACACGCACACACATATATTTTATATATATATATAGAATTTTTATATACAAATATTTTTACATCATACCAATCTGATTAAATACAGATTCATCATCGCCATATAAATCGATAAGTACTCCTAATACTTGAGGATGTTCATGTGCAAGTGCCCATTCAACAAGTGATTTGTCACCTGTTTTACGTCGTTCTTCATAACGACGCCAATCGGTACCATGTTTAAGTAAACTAACTACAACAGAACCTTGATTACATTCAATAGCTCGTTCCAATGGTGTTTTATTTTCAAATCCAGGATAATCAACGGGAAAACCACGTGTTAATAAATAATCTATGATATCGAGGCGACCATAACCTATGGCAACATTTAATGCTGATTCACGAGCCACCGAGATGCAGTACTAAAATAAAAATTAATTTTATAATGAAATATATATATACTAATAAATCTCTATTTAACATTCAATATAAATATTAACTTTCTCGAAGAAATTTCGTTATTTTCTTTTAAAATAATTATGTTATTGTTAAGAAACTTTATAAGAACTAATAAAAAAAGAATCGATCAATATTATCTGAAAACCTTCATATCTAATAATCTGAAATCTAACTTTCAGATCATATAAAATCATCAAAAAACTGTCTTAACATATCAAGGTCAAACTACCTAATCTATTATTTTTCTTTTGATTCGCTGAATAAATTAAACCTTAATACCCATTTCTTTTCCTTCATTTATTCTGCGAGAAAAAAAAATCGATATGATTCATTTTCTGCACATAATTAGAAGTTTCCAATGATTAATATATCATCATATGAGAAAGAAAAACAATCTGTTACATTTGTTGTTCTTGTAATCTTTCTATGCGTATTTTTTTTATATAATCAAACTTACAGGATTATGACCGAGATGAAGAAGAAGATCAACCATCGCAAGCCTGCCATTTGCAATAGCTGTATAAAGTGGTGTATGACCATTTGAATCGAGTAAACATGTATCAGCTACTGTTGGTTGTTGTCGAAGTCGACTATGTAAAAGAACTATTCCTTGAACATCGTTTGTTCGAACAGCATGATGTAAATCAAATTTAGGTATTTGTAATTCACTTTGTTGTTGCGGTTGTTGTTGTTGCTGCTGTTGTTGTTGCTGTTGTTGCTGTTGAACTTGTTGGTGTTGAGGATGTTGGATTGATTTTGTTGTATGAGATGGATATTGATATGGAGCATAATGGGTACGATGTTGAGGAATTACAGGACCACCGTTATGATGATGAGAATGATGATGATAATTACTCTCAGTCAACATAGTACTCGTGATCACAATGGAAATAAACAAAAAAAAATATCTAAAAGTAAAAATCATCCATCAGTTAGAAGAAGAGATATACACGTAAATGACCTTCTCCTCCTTCTCGTCGTCGTATTCGTCTTCACATCGCACTAGGATCGATGGTCTAACATACACTAAGTGCATCTCTCTCTCTTTTTCTCTATTAATCGAAAGAGAAAAAGAAGAAGAGAAATAGAGAAAGAATTAAACTCGATATCCAGGTTATTCGCTTTTTTTTTATTCATATATATCACGAATACAAATAAAAAAATAAACGTTTTATTATTGAAAACTCTTTCTTATCTGATATGTTCTGATTGTGAGCTGGTGCCAGTGTCAGCTGTTGAAATAAGTAAGAACAAAAAAAACGGATCATATCAGGACAATTGGCCTCCACTTTCTATAGATAGCGTAATAGCTTTGTCCTCCACGATTGCTTGCTCACATATGTGATGGACGAGATGGATATGGCATACATCCCTTTTTCTTTCCCTACGTCCTTCTCCGTTCTCCATCTATTCATACACCCCTTTTGTTCGATAATTTTATTGTCAGCTACGCATAACGACACAAGGTCTTGTTCTCGTAAGATGCGTACGCCCTACGCGCGCAAAAGAAAAGGAAAAGAATAAAGAGAGAAAAATGTATTGAGTCTTTATATCTACTATAAATGCGTTTATATATACACATACTAGTAATGACCAGCACATGTATATATTTGCACATCAGTTAGTTAGTCGACGACTTACGGCTCTGACTAAAAACAATACATCTATTTTTTTAATTCTTAAGTGGTGCATTGACGTATTTTTCTTTTTTCTCTATGCTATGCAACCAATTGCCTTAAGCATGTACGATAAATTCAGTCAGTCATTTACTTAAAGATGAAAGCATCATCATCCTTTTTGTCCTTATTATGATTACTACTGTTACCTATGGGTCTTTCGTCTATCAAAAAAGTGAGGAATGAAGAGAAAGAAAAAAAAAACGAATCACTTATTTAACTCAATAGCGGAAAAAAAACGAAGTAATAGAAAATGATTCAAATAAAAAGAAATAGCAATGTTGTTGTTGTTGTTGCTGTTTCTGTCGACGGCTAAATCAAGTAATAATACCAATGCGACGACTCGTGTACGTGTGCTTGTTCTTATGCTTCTTTCTTCTTTCCTATTTTTCTTTTTCTTCTTTTTCCCTTATTCACAAAAACCACACACACCAGCTGCTTGTCGAGTATAGACATTGAGAATTCGATGAGAGAGAATGAGAAAAGAAAAAAAAACTGAAAAAAGCAAGAAGAGACAAGTTACAGCCTTGTCTCATCGGGAAACATTCGGGCTGAGAGGGGTTGCTTTACACGATCTATTAACAATACATGTGGGCGAAAAAGCAAAAAAAAGAAAGAATGGAATTCTTTCCACTCATTGTTTGTTCTCAGATGAATCGACATTTGTGCTTGATATAGAAGAAAAAGAAACGTAGAAGAAAGATAATTAGAATATAAAACAACAAGAATGTTTACTAAAGAATGTTTTTTACAAAAATATGAACGCGCTTAACTTCCTCAGAAACTAATACTTTACTTAGAAAACGATAAATAATGTTGGCGTTGTTGTTCTTCTACGAAAAAGTTTTACAATCAAATCTATCATATTGATAGATTGATAATTGACAGCATACGAAAAGCATTAGCATCTAAAACCTAATGTTCTATCTAAAGAGTAAAGCCACTGTGACATTTTCTGAATGTTAACCATGATAGAAATATACAATCAATCGTTGTCATGCATATGTGATTTATCATTCCAATTCATCTATCTCTATGTATGAAGACTTAATAGAAAGAAGAAAAAAATATATTACTATAGTGTAGATTTTTCTTTTTATTTCTTCTATTATTAAATATTTACCTCATTATATAATAATTATATTAAACTAAAAGAAGAAAACAACATATAAATATTCAAAATGTAAAAAATAATAAGAACAAAAAGCAAAAAGGTCTGATGATTATATACACGTGCCACGTCAATGATGACGTAGGAACTATCCAATTGGATGTTATTTCACCATATGATGACGATACGTCTTACATCATCATTGTGTGATTACTTCTATTTTTTTTAGGGTGAAGGAAGGATTACCTATTTAAAACGTACACATACGATATCGAAGAGATGAACGAATGAATGTAACATGAATTTTAGACAAGTAACCAAGACAAAAACTGATAAAAAGTACATCTTATATTATAAAAAAATTTCTATATGATCAATTATTTTAGTAGACGATAGACGTAGATTGTATAAATAAAAAACGAAAAAGCAAAGTAACCTATCATTATCATTATCATGTCTAAAGTGATCACCTTCATTATATGCGTCTATACGTCATCGCCTCATCTATCATCTTGCTTTCTGTATACAATTGATTGGAGACATGATTAGAGATAGAATACAGAGAGAGAGAGCGAGAGAGAAGAAAAATCAAATAGATACATAATAAAGATTATCTTTTATAAAAACATCTGGCTAATCAAATTGTCATATTTTTTTTTTTGTATTTCTGAAATAAATATAGATTTTATTATATTTTATTTATAGGGCGTCACTTTTGTCCTCACAGAAAAAGTCGTACCATACGTGCGAATATAGTGAATAATATCATATGCTATATGTAAAAATAAAACGAATAAAAAAACGACATACTCAAGGCTTTTTTGTATTACTCGTTTTGGCCAAGTCATCATTATTTGATGAAGCGAAAGATAATAAAACGAAGTATAGTGAAATTTTTCAGTGTAGAATGGATACATTCTGATAAAAAAAACACTAGCGCCTTACGTTCGTGAATGGAATTTACACTATAGAACCTTACTCCAGTGCATATTTGCATACAAGATTTTTACATTCATACCAACTTTTACTACATTCTAATACTGAAAAATGTAGTATTTTTTTTTTATATTACTTTTCTTTGTATGACGAAGGAAAAAAAGAACTTATCATCAGCCGACATATTTGCATTGGACTTTGCCCTTACCTGTACGCCTACATAAGATTTGTTTAGAAATACTTTTTTTTGTCTAGATAAAAAATAACCTTTACAGTCTGTACGTAATTAAACAGAATCATTAATAAAATATTGTTATTCCATTGTAAACCATCCTTCGAGTAAACGCCATGCATCATCAAATAATTCGTAATAGACTTTATATAAATAAACAAAATATAATAGAAAATTGTCAAGTTTAGTGTTCGTTTTTTACCTCCACAACATTTGCGTCGTTTTGATCTTGAATCTTTCGGACGACGAAAAAGTTGTTCAGGTTTTAATCCTTTGGAATATTGTTTCATTTTTTTATGTTGAAAATTATTTGTTAAATTTAATTCATTTAATGAATTTTTATTTACTATTGGTTTCATATTGTATAAATATTTCATTTTTTCTTGATATTGATTTGATAGATATGAAGTCGAATCAGTTTCTTGTGTTGGATTTGATGTTTGAGATATTGTCAATGAAGTTGATGATAACACATGTCTCATCTATAAGATTCATGGAAATGAATTAGTCTTTTTCTAACCATATAAAGAATAGTTATTATCTACCTCAAATGATTGATGATCTTCTCTTTTAGATATAGAATCTCTAGATAATTGTGACTTAATTTGATTAGTTACAATTGATACAGATGGCGGTTTATTAATCGTCTTTAATATTTTTTCTTTACTTTTTCGTCGTGTACTAGTATTCTTAGATCTATTAATTATAATAAAAGTATACTTTTCATCGTATTTTTATCATCTTTAGAAGAACAACTACATTCAAGAATATCCAGATTTGTATCTTTTTATTAGAAAATAGAGAATAGTTGTCAAGATATTAGTCATAGAGAAAGATCATCGAACAAAACTTAATTGGTCTTTGTATATTATATAACTTATTCTTAAATCTGATTTCTTTCCATAGTCTTCTATCATGTAAAATTATCGTGATAGAAAAGCTCAACTTGCCATCATGTACATAAACAACAATAATCATAATATATAGTCGATTCGATAGTTATCTTGACCTCGTATACTGGGTCAATAGTACAGAGAAACTGTCTAATTTATCCTGTGTTCTGAAGGACTATAACTGATAAATCCCATTCATGTGTACTATACGAAAATATGCAGTTACTTTGATTTGAATTTTGCGTAAGTCTTAATAGATAATATATTCTATCAATATTAGTTCTGAATCTAGATTAGAAAGTGTCTGTGAATATGTGTCACTCATCTAATATATTAAGTTTACTGTGCAGAGTCTTCGTTTTTCTTTTTATAGCTGAGAATACATTTAATCTTGTTATGAATGATGATTAAATAACATCCATTTTCTACTAAATATACATTTGAAAGAAATATCCAATAAAATGAATATTTGATGAATACTGTATTTCTCATTATTTGAATATAATTTCAGATGTGCTTTAAGAATTATTATAAACTTACTTAATTTTCGTCTTCTTTTTATTGCTTTTATTCATTTTTCTAAAATAGAATCATAACAAAATCTGATAATTAATTCAAAATTTCTTACTTCTTGTTATTCTTTGAAACATTATTTTTTTCTCGAGATTTATTATCATTTAATTGTATTTTATTATTTAATTCTTGATTAAAACATGAACTAAATAAATGGCCATATTTATCCATATTAATACGAATTTTTTTTCGTGAATTTGTTAATTGATGAGAACAAAATTGTTTATTTTTAACAAATAAATATCGATGAAATACATGAGCCAAATTTGTACTAAGTAAATCTATAAATGATTTGGTTTCTGTCATGTCTTTTTTTATGTAAATGAAAAATAATAACCTTAGCAACACATTTTGAAATTTATAAATAAATAAATTTTGAATTTGATTGAATTTTAATACAATACATTTAAACAATAGATACAATTTCATTTATTATATGATTGATAAACTATTATGATATGATTCATAATTAGAAATTAAACGTCGTATATATGAGTTTTTTTTATCATCAAATGATATTGAATGTCGTAGGAGTTAAGTAATATTGACAACTATCACAAGACAGAAAAATATGATGATGATAGTCATGATTGTACATCACGTGATTAACAATATTTAATAACCATCTCTAAATAGTGATGAAAAATATTGATAAAAAATAAATACAAAGTCGATGTCGCACTGTTTGAGATGATAGTGGGCGCTAGTATCTTGAAAGTATATTCATTTACAAGTAATATCTAGGTCAAATTTGTTATTTTGAATAAGTATTTTAATTAAACTCTTCTTTTAAATTTCTACTATATCCAAAAAGTAAAAAAATTTTTTATTTACTCCTGTAAAATATCTTGTATTTAGTTCAATAGTATATTTACTGAATTTAAAAAGCACTTCATGTAATCATCATCATATATAGTCATAAAGAACTAAAGAATGATGCTTTGACCCATGAATATGTATAATGGCGTCATCATTATATGGATTACGCAAATGAATACTAAACTAGTTCATGTTCAATATCCTTTTATAACATCATTTACACAAATGTACTTGTTGTTTTTTAATACTAACTGACCTTTTTTATCTTATAGTACTTTCATCAATAAAAACAAATATTATCATAAGTTACAAAATTAAAACTCGTTTCCTCACAGATTATAATCAAAACAATAATGAAAATTGATCACGATAAACTTTAGATAAATGTTTCACATATTTTGCATTTCATGAGTCAATCGAATAGTAGACATGATGAATGACATAGACTTTAGTTTTGTTTATTATGTGTAACACGAATTATAGTTGATTCAGCGAAATTTTACAATATAAACAAATATTGTAATTAAGAAAGAATTATGATGTTTAAGAAAAATGAGAAAATTAATATAGCGATCATTAGGAATATTTAGTAAAGTCGATGCTACCTAGACCTAAGTACTATTGCAATACCATAGATTAATATTGTACAAATAATTAAACTGTATAATCTACTTTAATACTTTTCTAGGTAGTTTCTATTTTTCTATATAATTACTGCTAGCATATTTCTGATAAACTTAATGCCGATTTTCTCATTTGAAAAACAAATAAGAAAAGTTGATGAAACCTTTTGAAAATATATTAACATTGAATATTGTTCAATTTCAAACTAATGTGCTTGGTAACACCATTGCTCGCAACTAATCAGGTGAAACTTTGGTGTAATCACAAGAAAAGACAAGCAATAAACAGTAATAGTTCATTATTTGCTTATTTTTAATCATAATTAAAAAATAGAAATGATTAATGAGTGAAGGTTGCTGAGTTATATCTAGGTTTCTTTTGTTTAGTTTCATGCATATAATTAATATAAAATTGGATTAGAACAATCATTTAATCCATTAACTCTTACTGGCAACTGAATATAATTAATTCGTATGTAAAACTGTCCCGTTTTGTACTATTGAGTTACAACATATTATCTCAATACAGATGTACATCTAGTATTCTATATCAAAGGTGAGAAAAAGTAATCATTCAAATAAAATATAACAACAAAGAGATGTTTTCATTTGCTTTAATACTATTGTATTTCTATATAAAAAGTGATAATTTACTTATATATGTATATTTTTTGAATAGTAAACATATTTATATTTTACATTGACATTGAGAATCATAATTCAATTGTCCATTTTCTTTGCCTATATTTTATTGAATATATTAATTGTGAAACTTTGCTGTACGTGTGTATATTGTTGATATAATAAGAATTTCTTTTTCATCCTAATCTATATTTTTACTCAAATAATTTCATGGACATATGTTATTTTTATATGAACAGAAAGATGATATAAAGAAATTAGTTTGATCTAGGCTCTTTCGCAGCCATAAATCTGCATTAAACGAAAAGTTTCATCATTTCAGCACTTTCGAAACATAACTAACTAACTAATAGATGACACTACTGATTACACCTTAAAATGGATGAATTTTTTTAACGGTTTCAAAAGTATTTCTTTTTGATTATGATTCAAAGAAATTTAGAAGGGATAGTCGAAGTTTAGATCTTCTGTTTTACTCTTTAAGCGATATCGAATTTGAATTAATTAACTATCGAAGTGAAATAATTTTGATTGGTACAGTACAATATCTAATACGTCAAAGACAAGAATATATTTTGATTTTTTATATTTTCTTAACGGTTATTTTGAACAGAAGTAATTGAGAAGATAAATAGTTTAATGTCGAACCAATTATTAAAGCATCGCTTATCATTTCTAATAACTTTTATAAGACGTTCAATGATTATTCGATCTGATTATGATTTGGGTGTGAAAATGAAATTATTGAATGATAACAAACAATTTGAAAAAGCACTTCAACTATTTGATAAACATAAGAAAAACAAGCTTCAGTCATTTTCTAGTTTGATGATTACTCAAGCATTAAAAGCATCTACTCATCTTAGAGATCTTCAACGTGGTACAAGTATTCATTATCTTATTTCATCACGTATAAATAATGATTCTTACATATTAGCATCATTAATTCATTTCTATAGTAAGTTTGAATAAAAGAATTCATTTTTCTTATTAATGTTATAATTAAAGTAAATTGTGGTAATATGAAAACTGCTCAATCAATATTCGACACAGCAGTAAAAAAATCATTATCAATATATGCAGCAATGATGAAAGGTAAGAATTGTCATATTTCGAATCATATTTAACCAGATTATTCTCCTTAGGTTATATTAAAAATAATCAGGCAAATAAAGCGATGGATCTTTTCCATGAGATTAATAAGCCGGATGAAGTTATTGTTATTCTTTTATTTAATACTTGTGCTCAATTGGGAACTGAAGAAGCATTAAATTTAGCAAAAAGAGTTTCTAAAGAAATTCCACAATTGTTTTACTCAAATCCTCGTCTTTTAACTTCTTTATTAGATGTATTAATAAAATGTGGTGATATGGAATATGCTCAATTATTGTTTGATAGATCAACAAAAAAAGTACTATCGATGTATGGAGCAATGATGAATGGATATAATAAAGCTAAAAATCCGTTTAAAACACTAGATGTATTTCATCAAATGAAAATGAATGGTATTGAGCCAAATGTTATAAGTTATACTTGTGTTATTCAAGCTTTATCTCAAATGGGTGATTATTCAATTTCTGAATCAATCACTGAACAAATGCCTTCCTCGATTTTTGTTGATAATCAAATTCACAATGCACTAATCGATATGTGGGCAAGTTTAAATAAACGATCTTTTTATTTTTTTTCACTTTATAAAATCTATTTAGGGTAAAGTTGGATGCGCCAGTAAAGCAGAAGAAGTTTTCAGAAAAATTCCTCGGCCAGATCAAATTGGATACGCAGCAATGAGTCTGTTTTATTTTTTTAAACGTATCATTATTTGTTGATAAATAGTTCACTGTTATGGTTTAAATGGAATGGGTATTCAAGCAGTTAAACTTTATCATCAAATTCCATCAGAATTAATCAATGAATCAACTAGTATTTGTGTTATAAATGCATGTTCACATTCAGGACTAGTTGATCAAGCTCGTTCGATTTTTCTTAGCATTCCGATGAAAACAGAGAGAATTTATACGACTATGGTATATCAAATATTCTCTTATTTTAATTCAAACAATTTTTATTTCATGTTTTTATTAGATCGATTGTCTTAGTCGTGCATCTTTTTTCGATGAAGCACAACAATTAATTCTTGAATATGAACGTCTCAATTCACCTGTGTCACAAATGTACAGTTAGTATCTTTTTAATATTTCTAAAGTACTTCTGAAAACTATCGATCTTCTTTTGAAATTTGTTTTAATTGAGGGTGTAGGTGCAGGCTTGACTATCTTTCACTTAGGCCACACACACACAATTAAAAAATAAAACTATTTCTATAGAAAAACGTGAAATCAAGTATTTTATTTATTTGTTCTAGTGGCATTGTTATCAGGTGCGAGAATTTTAAAGAATATTCATTTATCGCAACAAATTTATGATCGGATGGAGCAACTTTTTCCTCAATTAACAGATCGATTAACATCAGCCGCAATTATTGTAGCTAATGTTCATGGATCATTAGGTGAATTTGACAAAGCATCAGAGATTAGAGCTAAATTAAATGAATCAGGTGCAAAGAAAACAATTGGACTCACAAGTACTGCAGTCAATAAACAATTTTACGTAAGTTCATAATTACAATATTATTATTTTAGACAAATAATGTCAAGTCGTTTTAGGAATTTCGAGCTCATGATCGATCTCATCCTCGAACTGAGGAAATCCATGCTGAAATTAAGAAAATATCAAAAGAACTTATTGATCATGGTTATCAATATGATTCAAGTTGGATCACACGAACATTGAATGAAGATGAAACTGATGAGACCGTTCTTTGGGGGCATAGTGAAAGACTTGCCATTGCATGGAATTTTGTTGCAAATCCAAATACAAAGCGAATTCAAATGAAGATAAATCTTCGTATTTGTGGTGATTGTCGTAAGTAACCATCTCATTATTTCTATGACTCTTAACTTTCGTTTACCATAGATCGAGCAATAAAATTAATCGCTTTGATTCGTAAATGTGAAATCATTATTCGTGATGCAAATCGAATCCACCATTTTCACGCCAATGGGCAATGCTCATGCAATGATTATTTTTGAAATAAATATTTAACTGCATTTTGTTTATGTTAGTTTTTGTCTTAGTTAAAATAAAGAGAAAAAAGAATTTATTTTTTAATCAAACGTCTTGTTGAAAATGGATTAAAGAGTGTGGATGTGAGTATGAATATTATATTTATCACATACCTATACCCAACCCTACTAAATGTACTCACAACTTAATACTGAGAGAGTCTTCTTGTATGCCGATCTTGAAGAACAATATTATTTTCAGCAGCTGTATAACATTCTTCAACAAGATCTTTTAGTGGATGAGTATTATTAAGCCATTCGATCATATCTAATCGTGATGACATTGGAATGATTGAAGATAGAAAAAAAATTAAAATTAAATACAAATATTTTTCATCATCAATTTTTCTGGCATAAGAAAAAATATATGCTACACACTTGGCGAAACTTCATTGATGAATAATTAGAGAACATATTTATAGTAATTACAAATTCACAGAGAGATATAAATTTTAATCATAATAGATATTTTATATTCTTTACAGATAATTGAAATGCTTCATTCGCTTTGTCGGATTATGACAAATTCTAATGTACTTCAGAGCTGAAAATAAATTCTAATCAATCGATGAATGTTTATTAAAATCCCATATATACGTATGATGATGTTGACACCAATTACATGTTAATGAAAATTCTTGAAATGTATATTTATCAAGTGGAATTTTGAATATAAAATGATTATAATCAGGATTATGTATTGTTGTACATATAAGTAGAAAATTTGTTGAATTATTTAAATATTTATCTTCACTTCTTATTGAATATAATTGATTAACTAAAGTAACAAAATGATGATATGTTGATACGCTTAAGCGTTTTGGATTATGCCGAAAATTACGACAACAAACTCATATATATTCATTTTAACTCGATAGAAATTCTAATAATGATTCACCTTCATAGTAATAAAATCTTTCATATATTTGTGATGTTGTTGATGTTTTTATTTTACTTTTTATATATTGTGTTATTTAGTTATTTATGCATTTTTATATTTCAAATGTCTAATTTTTGACATTTATTAAGACCATTAACAGATCAAATTTGAGCAATTTTGAATAACTGATCATGAGTTAATTTTGGTAGAAGTTTATATAAATATGATATACAATAGAATTTAGTATAATGAAATAATTAAGAATCGACTGAAAACAATAAAATTAAAATGATCTTATCTAAAATTATTGTTATTTATATAAAATATTTGATATGAGAGAATTTATTACAATCTAATTAAGTAAGAGAATGTTAATAGTTCAGTGCTTAAATTGTTTTACTGAAGACATATACAAAGAATATATTGTATCAACCATAATCAAATGAATTGTAATTAAAGAATTTTTCCTCATATTCATTTTTACGTTCTCACAGTCATTCTACAAAGATATTCACCATTAAACTCAAGTGTAGTTTAAAATATATAACAGCCATATTAATCTATAAAGTCATCTTTCAGAAATGTGTATCGAGATACAGTGGAACATCTCAATTAACAGATCATGATTAAGAATGGAAGAAGATGCTTCATTTGATAGAATATAACAATTTCGGAAAACTTCTACTATTACTAAAAAGATATTATACACTTCCCACATCCACATCCACATCCACATCCTCAGTAATATTCGATCAATGAAAAACTTTTTTTTAATCAATATATCACGAATACAACATTAAATAAATCATTATTATTGAAAAGATCGAATTTGTTTATAGAATGTGAATGGATGTTGCTGTTAATGTGGCAATGATGGGTATCAAGATAATACAATATTCATGCTCAAAAGGAAGGATTTCTATGACGAAGTCAGGAGAATATGCCATAGCGATTTTGTCGTCATTCCATACAAGCACTCTAAAACGATTGAAATTTGTTTTTTTTGCGATAAGTTTTATCGAAGAGTATTGCCTTTACTATATTTCAAAACTATTTTTTGAAAGAAAAAATATATATAAACTTGTAGTGCAAAGAAAAACAAATTTAACAAATAAGGTAATGACGCAGTCTTTAAAAAGTCAGTGAAGCCAGAATTTAATTTTCTAATAATTATTTCTATCATAATTTCATTTTTACAAACACTTAACTAATAAAATGTGTTAGAGAAGCAAAACAATTTTTTTTTGTTTTAAATTAATAAGGACAGTATTTTATGAGCTTTGGAAAAAAGATGATTGTTAGTTATGTTCATGCGTACTCCAACGTTTTTTTTTGCTTGTCTACAACATGAATTTACATTCCACGTGGCAATACTATGTTTCACGTGAGTTTGTATCAACTGATTTCATTAAAATAATGAAAAAGGTATAGAGTAAAGACGCGAAAGAAAAAAAGTTTTTTTTAAATAGAATAAATAACATATAACTTGACCATTTTCTTTTGTTTTGTTGTTATCGTCAGTTAAAAAGGAAGAAAGTATTTTCAAGAAGAGTTTTTCTGTATTATATAGGATCATCCTTTCAATGCCGTCGTACTGGTTCTTAGAATTTAAAACTAAAATTAAACGCATCAATTTATTTCAAGATATTGATGAAACAAATGAAGAAGATATCAAAAATCAAAAACTATCGACAATTATCTTTCTTATCCTGTTTACAATATCAATTGTTGCACTCTTTCTCTATTCATCCTTAACTCCTATAACAAAAACGGTAGTTGTTGAACAACCTTCTTTATCTGATTATAAACAATTAGAAGAAAAATATTCAAATACATTATTATGTGCATGTACAAGTGTTTCTAATGAATACAACAAATTCATATTATCATTTACACCGACTTTTAATCAAGTCTGCTCAAGTGATTTTGTTAGTGACAAATGGCTCAATTATATTAATTATCGCTTATTTCTTGAACCACAATATCATTTTACTTATGATTTTCGTCATTCAGCTTATGGATTTTTTGCTATGTTACGTACACTTTGTGTATTAGCTAAGCAAACAATTGATAGTGAATTAATTTCATTCTATTCCACAACTTTACTTACAGAAAACACCATTTCGGAAGAGATATTTTCAGTTAATATAAATGCAATTCGTGATCAGTTTACAAATGCAAGTGCAAATGATTTTATAATTACACTTGACTCAGTTATATTAATGGGATTGGTTAATAATATAGTGATGAATCGATTAGAAACCAATTGGAATTTATATCTTTATTATTTTTACCTACCGAACGATGAATTTAATGAAGCTTGGACAAGTCAACCATATATAGCAAGTGAAAATTGTACAGATCAAACAAGTGTAAACTGTAGTATAACAACAGGTATTTACTTAAGAAAACTTCCCAATGAGACATCATCATCTGATTTATGGTGGGCAAAATATCGAGCAGAATTACAATTCGAAGTTCCAGGTGTACTTGTAGGTTTTTTCATACTCAATGCTGTTCTTCAATCAAATCTTGCATGTTTATATAATGAAAGTTGTTTATCGAAACTAAACACATATTTAAATGATTCACTTTCTCCATTCAATGCAACACCTTTAGCAGTGCCTTCTTCTGCTTCGTCTCTTCCAACCATTAATGATTTAGCCAAAAAATTAATGGTGGATTTTTGGCAACTGAATTCATCTTATCAACATTATTTCAATGCGTGCAATCCATTAACTTGCACATATACTTATAGTCATCAGTTTGATATTCTTTTTATTATTACGACTGTTATTTCATTTATTGGTGGAATTGTAACAGTTCTTATGATCCTGATACTACCAACAGTGAAATTCTTACGAAAACAAGTTAAAACTGTCAACCGATTATTATCATCATCAGAAATTGTACCATATGAAACTAATATTGGTACGTATTGTAACTAGGATGCTAGAAATTGACTAGGAAGACTTTGTCAGACGTCAGGACATAGAGATTCGGTAAAGGAAGAATGAACTGGAGCCGTTAATCACTCTCTGCTAACGTTAGTGAGCTGTGGGCTAATCCAGATGCATGCTCAAAAGAAGAAAAAACAGATATAAAACCATCTTATGAAATGATGCCGAAGTGTTTGAAATTATGTCAGACGACGTGAAACAATTTTCCTATCTTGAAAATAATCGGTTCCTTTTTTTGCAAAAACAAGTTCTTTTAACAACAAAAAAAGAAATGTGAGTATCTTCAACAAATTTACATAAAAATGTAATGAATTAGATGGAAGAAGAAGACTTTTATTAAATAATCTACTAATAAGTACAGCAATTGCAAAAGAATTAATGTTCAGTAAGCAACGACCTGCTAGTGCAAAATTACGATGGGCAAACGCTAAAGTGAAATAAGCAATTGCCCATTTGCTCTCCTTCCCCCTGGCTATGTCATTGATCACCATATTTATTGTGTTTTTCTTTCTATTCTTTTATAGATCAGCAAGCTGTTGGTGATATCACTGAGCAACAAGTTTCATTATTTGTTAAAATAAAAATGTTTTTGCTCAACCTTAACTTTTTCTCAGATCCAGATAAAAACAGTGAATGGGACTTATATGGTCAACGTCTTTCAACTCGATTCTTCATCATTTCAATAATTAATGCATTTTCTATACTTATTCTCTATGCATCCACATATTCTGTTACAAAAACGATTACTATTAACAAACCTTCGATTGATGTTTATTCCAGTCTTCAAGATAAATATCCTCAAACATTAACTTGTCCATGTTCATCAACTACAAATGAACACTCTCAGTTCATAACATTTCGACCTACATTACATCCAGTTTGTCATTCAGACTTTATTACAGATAACTGGACTAATTTTTTAAAATCAGGCGGTAACAACGAAGAGTACCGCGATTTTCGTTACAGTAATTTCATATTCTTTCCAACTATTGTATCTTTTTGTCAACTATCATTGAAAACAATCAACAATGAAATATTCATATTCAATTCAACAAAATATGTTACAAAATATGTACAAGAAATAGATCTATTTAACTCTCAAACACAACAGCTCATCAGCAATATGA